CACCTAGAGAAGTTCCTGTAGCTTTTGTTGTAGAGCTGGTTTGGTGGTGCTGAATTCTCTTACCTTTTGCTTATGTGTAAAGCTTTTGATTTCTCCATCAAATCTGAATGAGATCCTTGCTGGGCAGAGTAATCTTGGTTGTAGGTTCTTCCCTTTCATCACTTTAAATATATCGTGCCACTCCCTTCTGGCTTGTAGAGTTTCTGCTGAGAAATCAGCTGTTAACCTTATGGGAGTTCCCTTGTATGTTATTTGTCATTTTTCCCTTGTTGCTTTTAATAATTTTTCTTTGTCCTTAATTTTTGTCAATTTAATTACTATGTGTCTCAGTGTGTTTCTCCTTGGGTTTATGCTGCCTGGGACTCTCTGCGCTTCCTGGACTTGGGTGGCTATTTCCTTTCCCATGTTAGGGAAGTTTTTGACTATAATCTCTTCAAATATTTTTTCCGGTCCTTTCTCTCTCTCTTCTCCTTCTGGGACCCCTATAATGCTAATGTTGGTTCATTTAATGTTGTCCCAGAGGTCTCTTAGGCTGTCTTCATTTCTTTTCATTCTATTTTCTTTATTCTGTTCTGTGACAGTGAGTTCCACCATTCTGTCTTCCAGGTCACTTATCTGTTCTTCTGCCTCAGTTATTCTGCTATTGATTCCTTCTAGTATATTTTTCATTTCAGTTATTGTATTGTTCATCTCTGTTTGTTTGCTCTTTATTTCTTGTAGGTGTTTGTTCTTTAATTCTTCTAGGTCTTTGTTAAACATTTCTTGCATCTCCTCGATCTTTGCCTCCATTCTTTTTCCAAGGTCCTGGATCATCTTCACTAACACTATTCTGAATTCTTTTTCTGGAAGGTTGCCTATCTCCACTTCATTTAGTTGTTTTTCTGGGTTTTATCTTGTTTCTTCATCTGGTACATAGTCCTCTGCCTTTTCATTTTGTCTGTCTTTCTGTGAATGTGGTTTTCATTCCACAGGCTGTAGGATTGTAGTTCTTCTTGCTTCTGCTGTCTGCCCTTTGGTGGATGAGGCTATCTAAGAGGCTTGTGCAAACTTCCTTATGGGAGGGACTGGTGTTGAGTAGAGCTGGGTGTTGCTCTGGTGCTTAGAGCTCAGTAAAACTTTACTCTGCTTGTCTGCTGATGGGTGGGGCTGAGTTCCCTCCCTGTTGACTATTTGGCCTGAGGCGATCCAGCACTGGAGGCCACAGGCTCTTTGGTGGGGCCAATGGTGGGCTCCAGGAGGGCTCATGCCAAGGAGTACTTCCCAGAACTTCTGCTGCCAGTGTCCTTATCCCCATGGTGAGCCACAGCCACTCCCCACCTCTGCAGGAGACCCTCCAACACTAGCAGGTAGGTCTGGTTCAGTCTCCTATGGGGTCACTGCTCCTTCCCCCTGGGTCCCAATGTGCACACTACTTTGTGTGTGCCCTCCAAGAGTGGAGTCTCTGTTTCCCACAGTCCTGTTGAAGTCCTGCAGTCAAATCCTGCTAGTCTTCAAAGACTGATTCTGTCGAGGTTCCTCCGACCGTTGCCAGGCCCCCAGGTTGGGAAGCCTTATGTTGGGCTCAGAACCTTCACTCCAGTAGGTGGACTTCTGTGGTATAAGTGTTCTCCAGTTTGTGAGTCACCCACCCAGCAGTTACAGGATTTGATTTTATTGTGATTGCACCCCTCGTACGGTCTCATTGCAGCTTCTCCTTTGTCTTTGGATGTGGGGCATCTTTTTTGGTGAGTTCCAGTGTCGTCTTGTTGGTGTTTGTTCAGCAGTTAGTTGTGATTCTGGTGCTTTCGCGGGAGGGAGTAAGCGCACGTCCTTCTCTGCCATCTTGAACCAATCTCCTCCTACATCTGCCTCTCTGATGCATGGCTTCTGGAGTGGTGTCTAAAGGAAGCTTACCCCCAAAAGAGCTCACAACAAATTTATTCACTGTATTCCCTACTAACAGATTCACGACTAACATTAGTGCGGTGTGTGGCCTGGTTCATTCATTGAGATGCCCTCTTCAGCCTGCCTTTGTGTGGGGTACAGTCTGACTCCCACCTGCTCAGCCCTCAGGCTATGTCTACTGGCTCCTTGGGATGTTCCAACCAGCAGTGTGAACATTAGCTTATCCTTTGGATTTGTTTTCTAGTTCTTTCTGGTCCTCTTACTATTTTTATCTCAGTCTAGCTCTTAAAAATATGCTTTCTGTTGTAGTGTATTTAGATTTTTCAGTAGCAGCATTTTTAGATATTCTGTACTGGGAAAAGTGACTCTGAATGTTTACTCCTCAATATTGCCATCAATTATCTGAAATGCTCTTCTCTAATATTACTGTGAAACAGCTTGGATTCATGAAGACATAAATACATCACCCAACAGCAAAAGGGATTCAGGCTAGTAAGGAATGGTGGGCGTTACTGCTTTGCAGAGGCATACATTAACTAGCGCAATGCTTCTTAACGTGTCTGGGAATCATAATCTTCTGGGGAACTAGTTTAAAATGCAAATCCTAATTCCTAGCCTCCTTGAGATTGAGATACAGTAGATCCAGGGTGGAACCCAGGAATCCCCATTTGAAACGAGCACCCCCAAATGCTTCTGATACAAGTGGACAGCTGATCCACTTTTGAAAAACATGAAACTAGCAGAAGGTTGGGGAAAGCATATTAATATGGAGAGAGAACTATAGAAATTACATCCATGGACTTCAGGATATGCTTGCTCTTTGGGAGGCAAGAGCACGGACTTTGGAACCAGACCAACTGATCTGAATCTTGTTCCATACTAATTATCCATCCAACCTTGAGTAGGAGTTGAAAACTCCTATGTGTACCTTGGTTTCCTTACATTAGGTGAAGCTAATAATACCCTTCACATAAGGTTGGTGTAAGGACTGAATGTGGTAACAGAATAGAACATCTTGTAGACTTTTTGCTAAAGAAAGCTTTTAAATGCATGCATTTATTTCTACTCATGCTGAAATCACACCAAATGATAATAAAGGAATACAACAAGGCATATACGCTTAAGGACAAGCAGAATGGGAGGAGCCAACAGTAAACAAGAAATGTTGTCAGAGTTTGGAGACAAAAAAATGGATGGAAGCAGAGCAGACAGTTGAATGGTACTCATCACTTGACCCTAGTATGACCCTATTGGTTGTTTATAGGCAGTGTCCATTCAGCGCTCATGCTCTCCTAGTGGTTGAGTATTTTCATGGTCACCCCTGGATGGAGGAATAGCAGTTGACTTGATAAACTGAAAGTTGAACCTAAGTGCCTGAGGAGAGTGATGCCAATAGGAAGAAACCGATTTGCTCCAGAGAACACTGGAAAAGCTTAGGATTTGGCAGTACCAAACATCATGCAGAGCAGGGGTGAAGAATAAGGGCTAAAAATGGAGACAGGCTAAAAAAATGTGTTGGGGCAGATTAGACTCAAAATTAGACTTCTTAACTACAAATCTGAAGTTAATAAGACAATGAAACAACTATTGAAAACGTAGAGGAAAAAAAGTTTTTCAATGAAGTATTCTATATCAAATTAAATATCAATCAAGACATTTTCAGACATAAAAGGTCTAAAAAGTTTTATTTCCTATGATTTCTTTCTATCTCAAGAAGTTACTGGATAATGTGCTTTATGAAATGGGCAAGTAAACCAGGATAAAGGAAGACACATAAGGGCAGGAAATGAAGACTCCAATATCGAAGAGAAACAGAAGGAATTCCCAATAGATGCAGAAGGGAAGTGCCAGGACAACTGTGCATAAGGCCTTGATTGGAGCAGGACAATAGACAGCTCTGGGAAAAAGTCCCCTCAGCCCCGAAAAATGGAATTGATAGATCATCTGATACATTTGACCATGAGAAAAATAAGAGAGATTTTACAATGATTTTGAGAGTTTGGAAATAACAATTGTAAATACATTGAAAACTTAAACAAGGCAATTAATAACTCCAGGAAAAACAAAATTTGCACAAAAAACCCCATCGTGATCATAGGCCTCTTTGGCTCAGTAGTAAACAAAATTGTCATATACCTTACTGAGAGCATGGGGGAAAGAAATGAAGGAAGTGAGGCTGAATTCTCATTGTCCATAATAGGAAGTTAGTAAAATGCTGTCTGAAATAGAGAAATCAAGAAATAGTAGCATAAGGATTTTATTTATAATTTTGGATGTAAATATTAGAAGAAATTTAAATGAACTGAGGTAGTTTCCTCTGGGGAACAGGATGGCACTAGAGAAGGGTGAAACGGGATTCTGTTCTTCATTAGAAGTCTTGTAGTACTATTTGCTTTTTTTAAAAAAATAAATTTATTTATTTATTGGCTGCGTTGGGTCTTCGCTGCTGTTCGCAGGCTCTGTCTAGTTGTGGTGAGTAGGGGGCTACTCTTCGTTGCGGTGCGTGGGCTTCTCATTGTGGTGGCTTCTCTTGTTGCAGAGCATGGGCTCTAGGCGCGTGGGCTTCAGTAGTTGTGGCTCGCGGGCTCTAGAGTGCAGACTCGGTAGTTGTGGTGCACAGGCTTAGTTGCTCCGAGCCATGTGGGATCTTCCCGGACCAGAGCTCAAACCCGTGTCCCCTGCATTGGCAGGCGGATTCTTAACCACTGTGCCACCAGGGAAGCCCATACTATTTGCTTTTTAAAATTTGTGTACAAGTATGACTTTAACAACAGTGATTAATTTAAAATATAAATGCTCTTCATATATAGATATACATATACAGTGCTTGTCACTGGTAAATACTCATTAGTTGGTAATTATTTTTATTGTTTGTGGTGAACTGTAGGTGAGAACTAGGACACCCTCAGAGGCTTCTCCAGAATTTCTCTAGGAGAGATTCAGAGACAGCAATCAGATTGACAGGTGGGGGTAGTGGGTTGAATTATGGTTCCAAAAATATATGCCCCAGTCCTAGCCCACATATCTGTGAATGTGACCTTACATGGAAATAGGGTCTTTGCAGATGTGTAATAATTAAATTAAGGATCTCATGATGAAATCATTCTGAATTTAAGGTGCACCCTAAATCCAATGATGAATGGCCTTATAAGGAACAAAAAAAGGAGACGAACAGAGAGATACAGAAGAGAAGGCCATGTGAAGATGGAGGCAGAGACTGGAGTGATGCGTCTACAAACCAACCAACACTAAGAATTTCCAGCAGCCACCAGCTAGGTGAGATGCAGACTCTCCCCCAGAGACTCCAGAAGGAATCCACCATCACCAGCATCTTGATTTTAGACTTCTGGCTTCCAGAACTGTGAGAGAGTAAATTTCTGTTGTTTTAAGACACTCAGTTTGTGGGAACTTATTACAGCAGCCCTAGAAAACTAACTCAGTGAGGTTAGCAGATAGGTCTGGAACTTCATTTGTAGAGCACGCATCTTATTCTTTAGATTGTATATTTTGGGGGAATTTGATGGGGTCAGTGTAGGAGATTATGGGGGTGACTAAAGCCTCCTTATACTACCCTTTGGCACTGCCACTGGTAGATCCCGGTTGGATGAGCCAATGAAGTAAATGTGTTTTATTATTTTTTCCAGCTTTATTGAAATATAATTGACATATAACACTGTATAAGTTTAAGATGTACAAGTGTTGATTTGAAATGCTTATTGCAAAATGATTACCGCCATGGAATTAGCTAACACCTGCATCACATCACATAACGATCATTTCTTTTTTGTGGTGAGAACATTTGCAATCTACTTTATTAGCAACTGTCAAGTATATAATAGAGTATTATTAACTATAATCACCATGCTGTACCTTAGATCCCCAGAACTTATTCAACCTGTAACTGGTATTTTGTACCCTTTGACCAACACCTCCTTTCCCCCCACCCCCCTTCAGCCCCTGGTCATCACCATTCTAGTCTGTTTCTATGAGTTCAGGTTTTTTAGAGTCCACATATAAGTGATATCATATACTATCTGTCTTTCTCTGCCTGACCTATTTCACTGTAAAAAAAAAATTGTATTTTAAAGTGATTTCAGATGCATACGTTCGTGTTATGAAATGTATTTTGGGGACAGCAGCATTTCTATACCACTATGTGGTAAAGGGCTTGAATGTTTCCCTATTTCATCAAAGAGGCAGATGTGAAACCAAGAGAAGAAATAGGTCTCCTCTGAGCCCATCCTTTTAGAAAACTTAATGAGACTTGGCTACAATAAGGTATCATTCATTGACATTCCACTTCTCTGTTTTAGAACTGGCTTCCTAATCCTTGAAATTAAATGAGTAATCTCTTTTTCCATCCTATTCTTTGCTTTTTTAATTTACCTTTTCTCCTTAGTCTCATTTCTTTTAGCTGTCCTGGCCACACCTTTAATGACTCACAGAAAATTAGCCCACACCAAAAAAATGGTAAACTTAAGATTTCAAAAATAGTGCTTGGAAATTTTCTTGAAATTTTGATCTATTTTTTTTTTAACATAGAAATTCATTTGATAGATGCCGTGAGCTCAAATTCTGTTTCCAAATGTCTCAAATAAGCCCATGTTTCTCCATCTCTAGCCCGACTAAGGCCATGCCCATCTCTCCAAAGCCTTGCTCAGGAGATGTGTCTGCTTCTTCCTTTATATACTTCCATCTCTTCCCTTGAAACAATGGACAGTATAAATTGGTCTCCTAAAATCATTAGTTGGATGCACTTATCTTAAGATAAAATCTACTTTTTTTTTTTTTTTGGCTGAGCAGCTTGTGGGGTCTTAGTTCCCCGGACCCTCGACAGTGAAAGCACAGAGTCCTAACCACTGGACCACCAGGGAATTCCCAAATCTAGCATTCTTAATGCAGCCTACTAAACCCTGCATAATCTGACCCCTGCCATCTTCACAGCCTTGTCCTCTACTATTGAGTTGGCCAAAAGGTTCGTTCGTTTTTTTCCTGTAAGATGGCTCTAGTAGTGCTTGGTTGTCTTTAAATTCATCCGAAACAATTTTGTTACATTGTATTGTGACAGCTGTCATATCAGCAACATGCATTAAAAAAAACATCAAAATTGGTGAATTTTTGTGTAGCCATTTTAATGTTGAAGATGGATGGAAAACAACATTTTTGGCATATTATGCTTTATTATTCCAAGAAAGGTAAAAATGCAACTGAAACGCAAAAAAAGTTTTGTGCAGTGTATGGAGAAGGTGCTGTGACTGAGCGAACGTGTCAAAAGTGCTTTGCGAAGTTTTGTGCTGGAGATTTCTTGCTGGATGATGTTCCACGGTCAGGTAGACCAGTTGAAGTTGACGGCGATCAAATCGAGACATTAAGGGAGAACAATCAATGTTATACCACTCGGGAGATAGCCGACATACTCAAAATATCCAAATCAAGCGCTGAAAATCATTTGCACCAGCTTGGTTATGTTCATCACTTTGATGTTTGGGCTCCCCATTAGTTAACCAAAAAAAACCTTTATGACCGTGTTTCCACATGCGATTCTCTACTTAAACATAATGAAAACATTCCATTTTTAAAACAAATTGTGGGGCTTCCCTGGTGGTGCAGTGGTTGAGAATCTGCCTGCTAATGCAGGGGACACGGGTTCGAGCCCTGGTCTGGGAGGATCCCATATGCTGCAGAGCAACTGGGCCCGTGAGCCACAACTACTGAGCCGGCGCGTCTGGAGCCTGTGCTCCGCAGCAAGAGAGGCCGCGATAGTGAGAGGCCCGCGCACCGCGATGAAGAGTGGCCCCCGCTTGCCACAACTAGAGAAAGCCCTCGCACAGAAACGAAGACCCAACACAGCAAAAATAAATTAATTAATTAATAAACTCCTACCCCCAACATCCCCAAAAAAACAAAACCGAATTGTGACGGGCGATGAAAAGTGGATACTGTACAATAATGTGGAACGGAGGAGATCGTGGGGCAAGTGAAATGAACCGCTACGCACCACACCAAAGGACGGTCTTCATCCAAAGAAGGTGATGCTGTGTATATGGTGGGATTGGAAGGGAGTCCTCTATTACGAACTCCTTCCGGAGAACCAAACGATTAATTCCAACAAGTACTGCTCCCGATTAGACCACCTGGAAGCCGCACTCAACGAAAAGCGCCTGGAATTAGTCAACAGAAAACACATAATCCTCCATCAGGATAACGCAAGACCACATATTTCTTTGATGAGCAGGCAAAAACTGTTACAGCTTGGCTGGGAAGTTCCGATCCCTCCACTGTATTCACCAGACATTGCGCCTTTGGATTTCCATTTCCGTCTTTACAAAATTCTCTTAATGGAGAAAATTTCAATTCCCAGAAGACTGTAAAAGGCACCTGGAACAGTTCTTGGCTCAAAAAGATAAAAAGTTTTGGGAAGATGGAATTATGAAGTTACCCGAAAAATGGCAGAAAGTAGTGGGATAAAACTGAATACGTTGTTCAATGAAGTTCTTGGTAAAAATTAAAAACGTATCTTTTATTTTTACTTAAAAACCAAAGGAACTTTTTGGTCCACCCAATACTATTCCCTTCATACATTATGCTCCAGCCACATGGCTTTCACTTCGCTCCTCTAATACATCAACTATTTCCGTCCTAAGGCCTTTGCATGTGCTGTTCCTTTTACTTAGTGTGCTCTTTTCTCCAATCTTTTCTTTCTTCTGTAACTATAGCTACATTTCACTTGCTTTGTTTATAGATTAACTCTAGAAATTAAAAACCAATCAATAACATTTAAGAAATGATTATGTATATGCAAGTCATTATAAAAACAAGTAGTAAGATTGGGCCTATTAAAAAAAAAATTCCACTCTTAGGTATTTATCCAAGAGAAATAAAAACATATGCCCACAAATGACTTATACTTAAATATTTTTAGGGCTCTATTTATAATAGCACCAAGCTGGAAACAAACCGAATTCTGTCAACAGAAGAATGGACAAACAGACTGAGTTATATTTGTGTAATAGACTACTACTCAACAATAAAAAACAAGCCACTAGTGCATGCAACAACTTGAGCCTCCAACACATTTTATTAAACAAAAGAAGCCAGACATAGAAGAGGATATATTGTATGATTCCATTTATGAAAAGTTCAAGGGCAGGTAAATAAATACTGTAGCAACAGAAATGAGAACAACCACTGTCTTTGGGGGTGTGTGGTGGGGCAGGGAGAGGCATTGGCTTGAAAGAGAGCAAAGGAACTTCTGAGGTGATGGGACTGCTCTGTATCTTGCTTTGGGTAATGGGGTTACACAGGTATACACATCTGTCAAAACACACTGTACACTGAAGCTATGTGCATTTTATTGTGTATGAAATACACTGTAGTTAAAGAACAATGCAATCTTATATTTTTGTAATCTAGCTGCTCAAAGAGACTTGTCAATAATCAAGTCCAATGCTTCATTTTATTTTCTTTCTAGCTTCTTTCACCTCTTCTGAATCACACTCAAATGTCATGTATGTTAATAACGTGAGAGGTTATCAGGCCTCCCTCCAGACCCATAGACTTATTTTACCCATGGCATTGTGATTCCAGACGTCTCATCCCCACACCTACATCAGATCAGAAGTAGCTGAAAAGTGGCACACTGGTAACAGTGACACCCTGACAATGAAGGAGAAAAAGAAAAACTAGAAGTATGACGTAAGATGGGACTTCCCTTATAGTTCAGTGGCTAAGACTCCATGCTTCCACTGCAGGAGCCGTGGGTTTGATCCCTGGTCAGGGAAACTAAGATCCCACATGCCAGCGTGGCATGGTCAAAAAAAAAAAAAAAAAAGTATGACCTAAGACTCCAAAAAGAGTGTGAACCTGGAATAAATGAAACAAAATCAGACTATGGTATACATTTCCTTAGCTGTAGGGCATCACATTTTATAATAGGGTTCATCCGGAAACATTAACTCGTATGCAGTATATTCTATTTTAAAAGCAAAGAAGGGTAAATACACGAACATTTCATAGAGAACATTTTAAATCATATTTTTGTTTTGGCACACGAAGGGATAAATTTTAGGATAGCCAGGTAAATCCAGTCAGGAATGAAAGCCACTCCCTGCTAGAACAAGGACTGGTGGCAAAGGAGCCACCTTTGGGCAGATGGCTAGTGTTAAACCACTTGGTGGAGCCCCAGGCAACCGAGAGGGTCATGTAATCCCAATAAGCTCTGATTTGACACCATTACCACCAACATGGAATTTCCTGAACGCTGTAAGGAGGCTGAGAAATGCTGCAAGAATGTGCTTTGTCTGGGCCACGTGGTTGTGAAAACTCCATAGGTGAAGACCCATGAAAGTGTCGTGCTAGCTCTTCTGAACGTAAATCATTCTAAATGGGCTCGTAGAGTGCTTTCTGAGTAATTTCCACTCTACAGAGATTTGATTGCAGAAAATTTCCGGTAAACTTAAAACTCAATTTCCTATAACACTTAGAAAGTGTACCAAGCTGGGCACTTGTACCAGGGCAAGTGTACCAAGTATTAAAAACACTGGGTTTGGGGCTTCCCTGGTGGCGCAGTGGTTGAGAGTCCGCCTGCCGAGGCAGGGGACACGGGTTCGTGCCCCGGTCCGGGAAGATCCCACATGCCGCTGAGCGGCTGGGCCCGTGAGCCATGGCCGCTGAGCCTGCGCGTCCGGAGCCTGTGCTCCGCAACGGGAGAGACCACAACAGTGAGAGGCCCGCGTAAAAAAAAAAACACAAAAAACTGGGTTTTTGTTCTATTGAGGGAGGCCCTTGATGAGTAGTAGAACTTTGAAATTTCGGAAAAAAAAAAAAAAAAGGTAGATAAATAAAGAAGATGGACATTTCTGATCATCAGTGACTAAACAAAACCTTGCTGAACTTGGAAAGTATAAAGAAAGAGGGAATACCTCCTAGCTTGAGGTGTTGTATCCTTGAGTTCAGATTCATGCTTGAATTGGATGCCATGTATCCTCAGGGATGAAGGGCCCACGGGAGAATGAGAAAAGTGAGGGGAATGCTGCTGGAAGGAGAGAACATGGAATGTCCTAGTGGTCAAGAGGAATGCGTGTGTGGGTGTGTGGGAGGATATCAGGGGAAAAGAACACTGAGAAGCTGATTTGTTTTGTAACTGCCAAAGCATTCCTGGGACGTTCTTCCTAGATGCTGGGATTAGAGAGGTGGGAACTTTCAACAATATGTTTATCCAAGTACAAGCATTAAAAGAATTTTTTTGGCAGATGTTTTTTTTTTTTTTTTTTTTTTTTTGGTACGCGGGCCTCTCACTGTAGCCTCTCCCGTTGTGGAGCACAGGCTCTGGATGCGCGGGCTCAGCGGCCATGGCTCACGGGCCCAGCCGCTCCGCGGCATGTGGGATCTTCCTGGACCGGGGCATGAACCCGTGTCCCCTGCATCGGCAGGCGGACTCTCAACCACTGCGCCACCAGGGAAGCCCTGGCAGATGTATTTTTTAATTCTAAAAAGAAAATGGTGACATGAAGGCAACTTTGAAACAAAATGACTTCTCATAATTCCACTACTCTTTAACAGCTAATATTCTATGTCTGTGTTTTCTTCTAGACTAAAACTCTCTTTCTTTAGCAATACTTTTGGGCGAGTAAGTTTCCTCTTGGCATGATCTCTATTGAAGCAGCTTCTGACCCCTAACAAGCTGGGAACAATCCTCCAGTCCTGTATCATTCTGCTTTAAATTGGAAACTTGAACTGCAGAGGGGAATTACCTGCAATTATCATTTCACAGCTGTTTGTAAGATTCCCCCCTTCAACCTCTGCTGCATGCGGTCTGTGGAAGTAAAGGAAGTCAAGCACTGTGGGTAAGAAAGCAATTCTGTAGCTCCTCTAGAATGGGTTTAGGGAACATCCATCCTAATTCTCTGTTTAGTAAGAAAAATGAGGCCCAGAAAAGGCCACAGAGCTAGTAAATGCTGTAGCTGAGATTGGACTCAAGCTCTTAAAAAACCAAAACATTTAAATTTTAAATAATTTTAGATCTATAGAAAAAAATTTAAAATAGCACATAGAGAGTTCAAGTCTACCCTCATCCAGCTCCCCCTAATGTTAACAATTACACAACCATAGTTCGGTTATCAAAACCAGAAAATTAATATGGATACAATACTATTAATTAAACTACACACCTTATTTGAATTTCATCAGTTTTCCCTTTAGTATCTTTTTGTCTGTCATTCTGGGATCCAGTCCGGAATCTCACATTGCATTTAATCATTATGTCTCCTTAAGTTTCTTCCAATCTGGGAGAGTTACTCGATCTTTGTCTTCCATGACCTTGAACCTTTTGAAGCGTACTGGCCAGGTATTTTGTAGAATGTCTCTCAATTGGGGTTTGTGTGATGCTTCCCCACGATTAGATTGTGGTTGTATATTTTTGGCAAGAATGACACAGGGAAAGTGTCCTTCTCAGTGCATTATAAGAGAAAATACACAATGTTGGTATGTCCTGTTACTGGTGATATTATCCTTGATCACTTGGCTAAGGTGGTATCTGTCCGGTTTCTCCGCTGTCAACTTACCACTTTTCCCTTTGTAACTGATGAATATCTTAGCAGGTATTCACTGAGACTGCGCTAATATCCTAATTTTCCTCAAACTTTCCATCAGTGGATCTTGCCTGCAGCAATTATTATTGTGATGTTTACCTAGTAGCGATTTTGTCATAGATAGATGGATAGACATAGATATAGATATGTATGGACTCATGAATATTTATTTAATCCTATGGACAATAACCCCATATTATCATTATTTACTTTGTCGCTCAAATTGTTCCAGCTTTGGCCATTGGGTACTCCTTGAGGTTGACTCCTATATCCTTTTGTCAGGCCTCGTCATTGTGGGCATTCTGAATTTTCTGACACAAGACTTTCCAGGCTCGATTAGATTCTCCCTACCCCAGCCCTAGAATCAACCACTTCTGTGAGGAACCCTCTGAACCAAGACCTTTTGATATAAACCTCTCATGCCCCTTCCACCAGCTCATGTTATATCTTAAACACTTTTGACTTGAACCTTTTGTACACTTTTCTCAGAAATATACTCTACGGGTAGGTGAAGTTTGTATTGGTTGGGTTTGGTCCAGTCATTCAGCATCGCTTTGTGGTTACTCCCGATGCTTCTCTGTCCACTCTAATTGTCCCACAGGGATGATCCAGGCATGAGGTGGCAGGAGGGTGAGAAGACAGAGAAGTGGATTGGAGTGTAGATAAGGGGATAATGCGGATAGAGATGAAGATATGGAGAGGGAGCCTGGGAGACTCAAATATACACATCTAAATTCTTCCTGCTTCACGACTATACAAATAAAACAGACACACACACACAAATTTCAAAAAAAGGAAGTTAGAAATTTTGAAGTTTTTTTTTTTTTTGAAGTTTTAATTTAAGTTTTCTAGTACTTGATCCACTCTGCCTGTGGGGAAGGTGCTCTGTGACTTTGGCTTCTCTTCCTTCTCTCTCTTTCTCTCTCACGTTGCCTCTAGCAGCTGTCCAGGCTGATTTATAGGGTCATAGCAAGTCAGCTTCCGGCTGAGTCTCACACGCTCATTGAGTATGTGTTATTACACTCCCTGTGTTAGGGGATGGATAAAGTTACCCATAAGGATGTTAACCGAAAACAGAGCTAAGTTTGCAGTGGAAATTAAGAGGCACACTGGAAACAGAAACTTGAAAATCCTAGGTTTCTAATCATTTGCATGAAATAATAGGACTTAAAAAACAACTTAGAAAACTATTCCAAATAGGTGAATATGTATCATGTTGTAAATACCTGCAGTAAAGCCCATGTTCCATTCCAAGACTCAAGAACACTGAAGGGTAGCGGCTGCAGTTTCTTGGGGTTTGGTATAAGTGTGGGATTGTTTTTCCTGCTATCTGAATAGTTATTCTATTTTTTTAATTTGTAACTTTCTACAAACGACACTACACTTTTTTCTACATACTTGTCCCTGGGTGTGCGTGTGTGAAGGAGAGAGAGATTGAAAGAGAAGGAGAAGGAGAGAGAGGGAGAAGAAGAGGGAGAGCGAGAGACATGACACACTAGTTTCTTACTGTTACAGGAAATTTAATACATGTCAGCACAAATCTGAGACTGACTCATTTGGCAGGAAGAACAAATCCACACACCACAGTAAACAGAGAATGAGGTGAGATCTCAAGAATAGGGGAAGGGTGGGGAGGCACTCTACAATTTAAGACATGAATAGAGGTGCTGTATTAAAATTATTTTCAGTTTCTGATAGTCACGTTGAATTTTTATCCTGACCTCCACAGGACTTGTCTTAAATGATTTAGGAAATTTCATCCTTCCCTCTGATCGCTCAATCATTTAGCCATCAAGTCCAACATATCCTACCTCTTGTGCATCTTGTAGGCCACACCATCTCCTTTCTGTCCCCACGTGTACTCACTTGGTTTGGGCCTTCACCGAGTTTTGTCTAGACTATTGCTCAAGTTTTCTTTCCATCTTTGAATGTCTCTGAATTATTCACCCCTTAAAACTCATTCCAGGCATCTCTTCCTACCCCATCAGGGCTAGCTATTTCTTTCTTGATGCCACCACTGAACCTTGTGTTAACTCATTCTATTATTCTGCTCCAAATGGATTGTAACTGCTACTGTATATACTCATTTCCCTACTAGACCAAGGCTGTGGGCTCCTTGAGGAATGGGATTACGTCTATGTTCCCAATGGGGTTTATTTCTATATCCCCGATGCCTGGCAGTGTTGGGCACACTCGGTGCTTGATAAATGCTTGGTCAGTGAATGAAAAAAATAAACAAATGACCAGGTGAATAAATGAAGGAGTCCACTCAGTTCACCAATGAACTATTTTTAACTAGTAAACCCCTCACTGTCAACCCCAAGCAAATGTTTCTCCCTGGAGCTGACAATTCATAACAAGTCATATGATGGAAGATTATATCCTTTAAGATGACATCTACAGGCAATAGTTTCTCCTCTACAGCTAGCGGTCTTCTCAAGATAAGTTATTTTTACTTTTTTGAAGGCATTTGTAATTATTATGCCTCATATCGCCATCTAGTGAAGTAAACTGGTAATACAGCAATTAAGCTATCTATGCATGAATGTGAGGAACACACTTGTGAAAAATCATTTATAGAAAATGATCCTTCCTTCTCCAGGTTCAAAAACCTTCAGTGATGTCTACTTTGTACTTTCTAGAGTTCAGCAACTTTTTTCTTGCCAAAATAACTTATTTCTAGATATCTGAATGGTGTCATGCCACTGGAAAATAATGTGGATATATGGAAAACATTTACAGCTAGCCTGTGTTTCACGGCCTTTAAATCAAAGAGCCACTGATATTTATTAACACAGAATGCTATTTTAGATATGTTATAGAATAAAAATTTTTGTGCTCGCTTCGGCAGCATATATACTAGAATAAAATTTTTGTAAGCTATGCAAACAATCCCAGCAATTTAATTTAATTAATATTTATCGAGTGTATTTTAGTGATCAAAATGTGCTTCAAAGTAAGTATCATTTCACTGTGATACCCATCTTTGTAAAGCTTAAAAATAAATACTATAACAAAATACTGTATTGTTTAAGTATCTGTCTTTTTTTATTCCTAACATCTTTATTGGAGTATAATTGCTTTACAATGTTGTGTTAGTTTCTGCTGTTGTCTGTCTTTTACCTATCTATCTAGACTGTAAAGAAAAGCAAGGGGGTCATGAACAGAAAAACCTTCAGAAGAATGGTCACCTCAATGGAGAGACAAGGGGAATGAATAAGAGGAGAACCCCCAGTAGCTTCCACAGGATTAGAAATGTTTTTGTTCTATGTGAGGTCATGGATTTTTATTTTATTGTTTGCTTCATAACTTAGATGCACATATTTTTGATCCAGTAACCCCACTTTTTAGAATTCTTCTTGTAGAAACAAAGCACCAGTATACAAGTATATGCATTTAAAAAAGGGAGAAGAAAGAAAGAAAAAGTAAAATAAAGAAATGAATACAGTTACCACATAAGCTTCATGTATACTCTACTTTTGGACTCATGCATATTCGTTTTTCATAAAAGCAAAATTTGATCATAAATATGATAAGCATTATCATATGATATGCTTCAATAAAAACTATTTTTTAAAACTTAAAAAGACCTTTCAGTGATATTTTAATAAACATATAGTTTGTTATAAATAGATACATATGCATAATTATAATAAGGTTATTATGCTAATAAAAGAACATTGACAAAGTGGAGAAAGTCTGATAGCATAAAAAAGAAGTAAATGAATTACAGTGCTTTCATATGGGGATTTAAGAGCATTTAAGAACATGTTTTCTAGTATTTTCTTCAGCCTAAAACTTTAGTATGTTTTGGTAGCTGTTCCCCGAACAATATTTTATCTTATTTATTTTATTTTTAATTTTTAAGGTTTTTATATATCTTTATTTTTATTGAGGTATAGTTGGTGTACAATATTATAGGAGTTTCAGGTGTACAACATAGCGATTCAATTTTTAAAGGTTATATACTTCATTTATAATTATTATAAAATATGGGTTATAGTCCCTGTGTTGTACAATATATCCTTGTAGCTTATTCATTTTATGCATGGTAGTATGTACCTCTCATGGCCCCTCCCCATTTCTTTCTCCCCACTGGTAACCACTAGTTTGTTCTCTATATCTGTGAGTCTATTTCTTTTGTGTTATGTTCACCAGTTTGTTTTATGTTTTGGATTCCACATATAAGTGATATCACATAGTATTTGTCTTTCTCTGTCTGACTTGTTTCACTAAGCATAATATTCTCCACGTCCATCCATGTTGCTGCAAATTCCATTATTTTCTTTTATGGCTGAGTAGTATTCCATTGTATATATGTGCCATATCTTCTCTCTCCATTCATCTGTTGACGGACACTTAGGATGCTTCCATATCTTGGCTATTATAAATAATGCTCCTATGAACATTGGGATGCGTGTATCTTTTTGAGTTAGTGGTTGTTGTGTTTTTTTTTTTTGCCTTCTTTGGATATACACCCAGGAGTGGAATTTCTGGATCATATTGTAGTTCTATTTTTGAATGTGGTGTAAATTCAAATTTCGGCATGAGAGTACAGCTGATTACAAAACACTGGGGAAGATTATCAAAATTAAAATTATTAATGTTTTTAAATCCAATGCCAGCAGAGGCAGACTGATTTGCTTGTTGGTTCACTCTGCCCCACCTATAGATTTTTCCAAGTTCATCTTTTCAACCAAATATATAGCCAGTTTGAGTGCCTGGATTTATGTGTAGGTCTCATTGAGCTGCCCACTTTGTCAGGTTCAGATCCTGTTACTTGGTTAACCAAGAAAACTCTATGTTCCCAGGAATATGTCAGACCTTTTCAAAGTCCTCTCTTGACATCTTATTTCACAGCTTTCCTTTTTTTTTAGAAAGTATTATGGTTAGCCTATTGTTTTCCCCAACTCCTATCTACCACTTCAGTCAGCCACTATGTTGACCAACAAAACTCTAGATTTTTGGTTTTGGCAAACTTCCAGGGCATCCCTTGTTTCTGTGTTGGTTTATCACTTTAGTTTCAGTGCTAAAGTGTGTGAGTGTGTGTGTGTGTGTGACGATTTAGTACTTCCCTTACTTTCTTGTGAATTTAGCAATGTATTTAAAAGTACATTTGGAAGTAATATCAGTAAAACTGGCAGAGACCTCCAAAAACTCTTCCCTTCATAAAAGCAAAAGAACACTGGCAAAAATGGTCAGAATCAACTTTTTCAGAACTCTGGAAACTAACCAAAGTCTTACAGCAATCTGCAGAGCATTTATTCAAGAACATAGGCTGAATTTTGATGAGAACGGTGAGCTTTGGGGTCCTCTAACTTGCCCTATTCCTAGTCACACCCTCCTCAGCTCCATAGGAGCCTTGAAAACCAACATCTGCAATCCCGGTGTTGACCTAAAATAGACGGCCAGCTATTTCTCCAGCAAAAATGGGTTTATATGGGGTCAACAGAAATGTGCAATTCAGGGTCTGCAACCATGGCGAGCCATTTGCAAGTTCCCACACAGCAGGGGAAAGAGAACTTTTTGTAGAGTAGAAATGGAAGCTGGGAGAGGTGTAGGGAAAAAAAAAAAAAAAAAAAAAAATCCATGCTTTTCACTGGTTGAGTCCTTGCCAGGAAAGGAAAGGAGGTCTTTCTTCTTCTTGTTGGGCATGAGAGCGCCCCCTTCTGGTCTCCCGACTATTTAATTGAGGTTTCTGTTTATTAATTCTTTACCTTTTCCCCTTTTGATCAAGCTCTTTCTCTGAAAGCATCACTGATCAAGAGTCAGGTTTTCCAGTTTCAGTGGCTTTTTATCCCTCAGTGCCAGGAAGGACCTTTCCTGGGGGTAGTGTCTCATGTGGGAGAGAAAGTGTACAGATTGGAAACCTACTGAGGTTACACTGGGATAACAAGGCGGGATGGGAGAGAGCAACTCTCAGCACTTTTTTCTTTAATTTATTTTTTTATTGATAGATTTTTTAATTGTGTCATGTTTTTTACATCTTTATTGGAGTTTAATTGCTTTACAATGTTGTATTAGTTTCTGCTGTATAACAAAGTGAATCAGCTATACGTATACATACATCCCCATATCCCCTCCCTCTTGCGTCTCCCTCCCACCCTCCCTCAAGCACTTGTAATCTAAAGTTTATATGTTATCAAGATCATAGACATTGGAGAGCCTCTGAAGCATTACATCATCATCAAAGGTTTGGTGACAAAACTTCCAACAGCCCTGGTTTGGATATCTTTACTTCCAGGTCACCAGATGATGTGCAGGTCCAGTTGGGGTTTGGTGCTTTCTTTAGGTGTGTCATGTGAATCTAAGAGTCTATTCCCTAGAGTCTGGTGGCACAAGGATTGGTTAGTAGTACCTGATGGGGGCCTTTTCAGAGAGGTTAAATGGAGTCTTTCTGGAAGTATCTTTTCCACTTGAAGAAATCTCCAGTTTATAAGCTGTGATGCTCGAGGGCTTCATCTCCCAAGAATATTGGTGTATCTCTCCTTTTGTCAGTTGTGGGTCAAAAGAGGCAAAAGCCAGTGCATTGGGCATCCTGTGACTATTTCAAAGGGTGAGAGTTTATGAGTTCCAGTAGGGGTGAATCTAAGATTGACAAGATATTTGGAGGGCCTCTCCAAGACTCAAGTTTTGCCAATTGAGTCTTAATAACGTCATTAGTGCTTTTGACTAAACCAGAGGATTGAGGGCGGCAAGTGCAGAGAAAGTGTTGTAAACCTGGCCAAATAGCACAGACTTGTTGAAGTATCTGACGAGTAAAATGGGTTCCTCGATCACTATGAAGTTTGAGGAGCTCCCCAGATAGGAATAACCTTTTCCAGAAGGACTTTAGCCACAGAAGAGGCAGTAGCATGTCTGCAAGGGAAGGCTTCAGTCCAGTGTGAAAACATGCAGACCGTGACTAAAACATATTTATATGCATGAGACAGGAAGTTGTATGGAATCCGTTTGCCAGACCCCACAGCATCCGTTAGGCAGTTTCAAATGCCCAGGAGCAGTACAAACAGGCTTCTGTGAGTTAGATTTAGGACAAGTGGGACAAGCGATGTAGGCATTTTTGTGGTCTTGTTAATGTTTCCCCGCCAATATTGATTCATGAAGGCTATCATTTTGTCAGTAGACCAATGGTTTAAAGCATGAACTGTGGTGAGGTGTGGGAATTTTAGAGTCTCTCGCAGGACTGGGTTGTTATTTGGTCCAAACCAGAACTTTCTCTTTTTATCAAACCAACAGTTGTTGAATTTCCAGTCTTGTTTTTCCTTTTCTGAGGCCAATTTTTGGGCTTCTCTAGCCAGGTTTTCTAAGTTATCATTTGTGGAAATAGCCCTTTTGATCATGACAGAGGTTTGACTGCTGTCGGTTCCTTTAAGGACAGCATGCCTTGCAGTAATGTCAGTAAGATGATTTCCTTTAGCTTCCAGAAAGTCAAGTTTAGAATGCCCTGGAATCTTAATGATAGCTAAAGCAAGCAAGTAAAATTATTGCACCCAATAATTCCTAAACATAGGGGGCTTTTATTTGCATCGGAATTAAGGAAGTCACATTGCTTACACAACATTCCGAAATCATGAGCTGTTCTGAAAGCATATTTACTATCAGTATAAATATTGGCAGTTTTGCTCTTGGTTAAAGTGCAGGCCTGTATAAGAGCATATAGTTCAGCCTGTTGGGTCAAAGTAGCCATAGGTAAGTAATGCTGCCTCAACAATACCGAAAGGAGTTGCACTAGCAATACTCAGCACAATGTTTGCCATTGTCACCGTTTAAGTAAGAGCCATCAGTGAGCCATGAGAAGTCAGTGTTACCCAAAGGAACTGCCTGCGGATCATCACGAGGAGTCAGGAGGTGACCCATCAGCATTAAGCAGTCAGGAGGGACTTTGTCGGGGACAGAGGGGAGAACGGCAGCAGGGTTAAGGTTATTGCCATGTAGAAGTGTCATGCGAGGAGAGTAAATGAAAGGACTTCATAGGAAGTGAGCGACTGGCTGAGAAATGTTGAGTATGAGAATTCAGGAGGGCTTTTACTGCATGAGGTGCAAAAGCGGTTAAAGGGGATCCCACAATGATATTCTCAGTGGTCTTAACCAAAAGGGCAGTGGCTGTAAGGCAAGAGGGGGTATCCCAGTGTCACAGGGTCAAGTTGCTGGCTATAATAGTCAATGGAGTACCCCAAAGGCATTACATTACTTTTCTTATACGAAAAAGGAAAAAGGGAATCTGAAAATTGGGATGCCCAAGGGCAGATGGGTTCATCAAACTCTCCTATAAGGCCTTAAAGGCTATGTTTATGGTTTTTCCCATAAACTTGGGTCAGTGTTGTTACTATTTAGTAAAACATACGAAAGAGGTTAGGCTATAAGAAGGAAATTCGGAATCTAATTTTAGCAATAACCAACTAGCTTTGGTGCTTTTAGTTTGGGGTTTTAGGAAACTTAGGACATCATGAAATCTATCTGGATCTGGGTGTAGCCCTTGTTGTGATAGTAGATGCCCTAAATATCTAAACTGGGTTTGGGCAAACTGTAATTTTTCCTTGCTGACCTTATGTCCCTTTAAGGCTAAAAGCTTTAGCAGGTGGCTGCTGTCTTCCTGTGAAGGGGCTTGAGAAGGAGAGCAGAGAAGCAGATCATCCACATATTGCAACAAAGTGGAACCTCTCTGGAATTTTTTATCATCAAGATCAGCCTTCAGGATTTGTAAGAAGTAAGTAGAACTCTCAGTAAACTCTGAAATATTACTGTGCAGGTGAATTTTTTTTCTTCCCAAGTGAGGGGGAAAAGGTATTGGCTAGTTTCATCAACTGGAATACTAAAGAATGCACTGCATAAATCAATTTCAGTAAAGAATGTGCTTCCTGTAGGAATGGATGTTAGCAATATATGAGGGTTAAGAACAACAGGGTGTTTAGGGATAACAACGTTTTTCCTTTTCAGAAGTCCTAGACAAACCCCCACCCTCGCCCTTAGGTTTTCTCACAGGGGCAATAGGAGTAATACAGGGATTAGTAGAAGGGATAATGAGACCTTGAGCCTGTAATCTTCTATTATGGGCTTTATGCCTTGAAGGGCTTCTTTACTTATAGGCTCTTGATTAATTCTGGGAAGAGGTTTTGAGGATCTATCTGAATCTTGATGGGAGGTGCACTGTGAATTTTGCCAATATCAGTGGAGATTTTGCCTGTAAGGAGGGTGGTAGCTGATTCAATAGGGACAAATGATTAGTGTTTCCAGGATCAGCTGTAGACAGAGCAAATAAAAGATGTCACAGGGTCATTTAATTCATCTGATTGGCTGCTTTGATGCCTACTGTTAAATTCTAGAATTCCCCCCCCCCCCCCCCCCCCCCCCCCGCCAATTCTCTCCTGGTGGTCCTGTGGTTAAGACTCGGGCTTTCCCTGCCGTGGACCTGGGTTTGATCCCTGGTTTGGGAACTCAGATCCCACCAGCCACAGTGTGGCCAAAAAAGAAAAAAAAAGAATTATTCCCCCCTTCTGAGAGAAGGAAATTCTGGCATGATACTTCTTTAAGGAGTCACAGCCTTACAAATGCATAGGGGTGAAGAACTAAGGAGAAAAGGGTGTGTGTCTCTCAAAGGGCCTAAACAAAAGGAAATAGGTTCAGAGACAGAAGCATCTTGAGGTTCATTAGAGGTCCCTACTGTTTGAACTGTTCTAGTACTCCAAGGCAGGGGCTGCTTTATAGCAGTGGGGTTGATAACCAAGAGTGTGAATCTGATGTCAGTTAGGACTGGAGGAGATTCAGCCCCAATCTGGAGAAATGTTTCTCCAAGCCAGTTAGAGAGAGGATTGGAAAAAGCCCCTGTAGTTCCTCAGAGCCCCCTCACTGAGAATTGAGAGCCTGTTCAAAGGCTGCTTAGAGGGCTGCAGGTGCTTGAAGAGCTCAAATTGCCAAGTCTCTTTTCCAATGTCTCTGCAATAATAACAGAAACTAGGAGGGTTTTGCTTTTCAGTTGCTGGAGTTGAAGATTAAGAATTTTGGTGATCTTCCTTTTAGGTGACTCATCTAGCATGCAAGAGAGCTGGTTTGCCAGATTAATTAAATTTGGAGTGGACATTGTTTCCCATTTCATCCTGGTCCATTTTACTAGAAGGAAAAGGTCCTGGTTTAGCCTGTAAATAAATACAGAGTTAAAAGCTACCTGAGTGGAATCAACATCTGAAGGAAGATCACAATTTTCATTTAAAATAATCTGAAATTGACCGTAACAGTCATGAACAGGCTCCTCAGATTTTTGTGTGCAAGGCTGAATTGTGTTCCAATCAACAGGCTTTGGAAAACCCTAGAAATTGCCCTAGGAAGCCACCTAGCGATTGTCGAGCCTGATCATATAAATTAGCAGGCTGGTTTTGAAACTGAAAGTTATCATCAGTTAGATCCATTACACCTGTAATGATCAAGCTCCCTTTAATTGTTTTTACAAAAACGTGCAGGTCCTCCAGTAGCCTGAACAATAAGAGGTTGGCCTGAGTTGTTTTTCAGGAGCTTGGAGTCAGCTGTCCAGTTTGAGCTCCAGCTGGTTAAGACTGGTTAAGACCACCGACCCTCCAACTGAGCATGCTCGGTGACCTTTTGACATCAGAAGGCAGGAAAACTCCATTCTCAGAGCATGCTAATACCACTATTTTCTGAGCATGCGTACTGGGAAGAAGCCGGTAGCTTAGGTGTATCTACGCAGAAAGAAGATCACCTCACCTTTTTCTTATTTCCAATTAGCTTTCCCCACGCCTTAGTTTTAGCCCATAAATACCCCTAGCTCCCGGGCTTTTGAGGAGGTGGTTTTCAGATTTGTTCTCTTGTCTTCCTGTTTGGCTGCCTTGTGAATAAACCCCTTCGCTGCTGCAAACTTCGGCGTCTCAGCATTTGGCTTGCTGCGTGTTGGGCAAACAAACCTGATTCGGTAACGCTTTTCCAGTTATATTTTTAAGTACCTTTCAGAATTTTCCCAATTAGCAGTCTTTATTCAGTGTTGGGACTGGCCTTTGCCGACCAGCGTATGGACTAGCTGATACAAGTCAGAGAAAGTAGGCTGATAAGTTGAGTATCAATATGAAATTCCTCAGCAAATCTGTGAGGCTCTTCGGTTACTTTGGGAAAAATCTGTGACTATGGCTCAAAGTTCAGCTTTAGCTCAGAGAATAGAAGAAATTAAGGGTTTAGTCTCGGGATCCTCAGTAGGCTTAATTAAATTAATTAATTAATTTATTTATTTATTTTGCGGTACGTGGGTCTCTCACTGTTGTGGCCTCTCCCGTTGCCGAGCACAGGCTCCGGAGGCGCAGGCTCAGCGGCCATGGCTCACGGGCCCAGCCGCTCCGCGGCATGTGGGATCTTCCTGGACCGGGGCACGAACCTGTGTCACCTGCACCGGCAGGCGGACTCTCAACCACTGTGCCACCGGGGAAGCCCAAAGTGGGTGTATTTTAATTTACAACTAATACTTGATTGTTTCTTCTCAATCCTATGAATTGATACCTTGAGTAAAATGATTTTGTTTCCTCCTCATTCCTGTATCAACCTTGCTTATTTTACTTAAAGTTAATATTAGCCAGAAAATATTCAGCCCTCTGGTCATTCTCTCCAGCCTATAGGGGAAGCCAAAAGCTCAATGTAACCTTTTTTTAGAATCAAAATATGTAACAAGCATCCCCTCCATTAGATGCAAAAGAAAAAGTAACAGGGGAGACAGTCTGCCCTGAGATGATTATCCTGGGCTCTTTGGCCTTCATACCCCACCCCTGTCCTTAAGGAGAACAGCGTCTGTTTTTTTGTTTGTTTTAATTATTTTTTTACCTGTTTATTAGAGTATAATTGCTTTATAATGGTGTGTTCGTTTCTGCTTTATAACAAAGTGAATCAGTTATACATATACATATGTTCCCATATCTCCTCCCTCTTGCGTCTACCTCCCTCCCACCCCTCTAGGTGGTCACAAAGCACCGAGCTGATCTCCCTGTGCTATGCGGCTGCTTCCCACTAGCTAGCTATTTTACGTTTGGTGGTGTATATATGTCCGTGCCACTCTCTCACTTTGTCACAGCTTACCCTTCCCCCTCCCCATATCAGCGTCTGTTTTTAAGTCCTTGCAGCCTGGAACCGAGTTCATTGTATTCCCCACTCTGGTACATCTCGGGACCACCTGGAATCTGTTGTTTAGTGTTGCTATGGACACGGAGTTCTTATTCTAGTGTTGGCTTGTTAGCAGCACCAGGTAAAGACCTAGGGTGGAGGCCTCTGGCCAAGGACGTCCCATCCCATCCCATGCCGTTCATGTTGTCCCATCCCATCCTCTGCCGTTTATGTCGCTCATGTTGCCCTTTCGCCCTCACAGAGTGAGAAGAGTATAACGTTTTAGAGGGACAGCTGGAGGGTGTGGGGAGGAGGAAGGAGGGGGAGAAGGGAGCGGAAGGGGATCTTCGGACCCCGTAGACAGGAAGGTTTGCCTTGTGCTCAGCTGTGGGGAGCCCTAATTAACGCTCCTCTCCCCTCCCGCTGATCCTGCAGAGCCCCGTCACCATCAGGGCATGGGGACGTGGGACATGGAGGGGGAGGGGGCCCTAGGCCGATGTAGGACCAACTAGCGGTAACTTTGTGGCTGGCCAGGACCTGGGCCGAGATTTCACTTAACGGGCTTGATTTGGGGAAATTAAGAAAGAATGGAAAAGAAAGAAGGAAAAGGCATTATCCTGAAAGGCAGCGGGAGAGAAAACGGCTACCAGGATCTTGAGGAAAGTTTGCTCCCGCTTAGGAAAGGCTGTACCCGAGTCACAAAATGTGCCCCACTGCCCCGCAGCCCCTTCCGAGAGGCAGCCCCTCTGCCTTTGCTAAAGCAGCCTTGCCTGCAGATAAGTGGGTCCAGGGCTTGCAGGGAGGGGGCCCAAGAACCCGGCTGTGCCGTGGCCGCCGTGGCTCTCGGGTCCACCTCGCCCCTGGAACACAGGCGGTACCTCCGAGCTTTGGGCTTCCTACTCCCACTTCCTACTCCCATGAGCTGGTATGCCTCGAAGGTATGGGATTCACAGGTGGCTGGGCCCCAAGCCCAAAACTCAGAATCAACATTTATGCCCAAATTGGTCTGTTTTTGGAAAAAAAAAAAATTGTTTTCTATTTCTTTTCAAATTTCTCTCCTTGCCCGGAATTTAGGGGCTGGTGGCCCATTTCTGCCTGTCTCACGTGGACGTAGTATTACTGCTTGTTAACTTGGCAATCTACTTGGCACTGTGTTACTGTCCAGTGACTTCCAGTTTTCATCCGTGAAATCTGCTCTATGAAATGCTGAGGGTCACATCTCTGAGCTTTCCCGATTCTTTCATTTATTCTGCAGAGAATACTTCAGGATGGAAATATCATAAGTCACTACGATGATGTAAAATTGGTTTGCAGTGGGTTTTGTTTCACTTCCTGGGTCCTGTCTAGCAAGTGGGTAATCTTTAGGGTCCTGTGCTTGAGCTAAACTTAAATTTTATTGAACACACAAAAAATGTTTTTCTCTGTTTCTTGAGCTAAAATGCATGTTTCACAGGATTGATAAAATTGCACAGTATTGCAGATTTTATGTTTGCAGAGTCAAGACTTTGGAAATGCTGATCCATATGTGTGACTTTCTAACTGGGGGGACATCATATGTGTTTTAAACGTATCGAATATATAATGCATACATGCTTTTCCTTTTCTTAGATTAATTGTAGATTAAATTCAACAACAAAACAAACCATGCAGAGATTAAAGAAGAGTTCTTTATATGCCTGGTTCATGCATCAAAAAAATAAGTAAGTGATAAGATTCAAATTTACTGAATTTTAAGCATAATTCTCAGCCTTGGTTAACAGAATGGGGGGAATACACGTGTACCTTCTTTCATAATAAATGTAAGCTGTATGCAAATGAAATTAGCAAACTCCAAATTTAAAGCCCTTGTTTTTTGCCTGTAATTTCCTTAAATACTACAGGTTAGGCAGTATGTCAGTAATAGTATGCATGTGACAGTCATGGTCCCTTTAAACTTGTCCTTTAGCAGTGGCTGGTTGCCCTAATGGAGGATGTTCTGTCCATGGGTGGTGACCATTTTCCAGGGACGGCCACTACAAGGGCTTCAGTTTTCACATCTCCGTCAACACCTGAAATGTTGCTAATTACCACAGTGAAGGTCACAAATGCATTTTTATTAGTGAGATTAGTGGTTTACAAATCGGCATGATGGATATTAGAAATACAAAAATATTCAGGATCTGTGAACTGGTGAAAATGAATAATAGTAAGTATCTCGAGGAACGTAATGAGCAACTGAAGTAGTATTTGTGAAGCATCAGCACAATGCCTGGCCCTTAGTAAAGACCATTTAAATGTTTGTAAGGTGAAAGATCACTTTGTGATATTTCTTTAATTTTGGAAATTTCATCCTTATTTTTTTCAGCTTTTTCTTTTCCATTTTTTCTCATTTATTCTCAGATGTCTATAATCCAGATTTTTTTTATTGGAGTATAATTGCTTTACAGTGGTGTGTTAGTTTCTGCTTTATAACAAAGTGAATCAGTTATACATATACATATGTTCCCATATCTCTTCCCTCTTGTGAATCCAGATGTTAGATATGATTTTATACTCCATATCAATTGGCTTTTGTTTTGTATGTTCTCCCTCTATATTCTTTTTTTAAATAAATTTATTTTTGGCTGTGTTGGGTCTTCGTTGCTGCACGCGGGCTTTCTCTAGTTGTGGCGACCAGGGGCTACTTTTTGTTGTGGTGTGTGGGCTTCTCATTGTGGTGGCTTCTCTTGTTGTGGAGCACAGGCTCTAGGCCCGCGGACTTCAGTAGTTGTGGCACGCGGGCTCAGTAGTTGTGGCTCGTGGGCTCTAGAGTGCAGGCTCAGTAGTTGTGGCACACAGGCTTAGTTGCTCTGCAGCATGTGGGATCTTCCTGGACCAGGGCTAGACCCGTGTCCCCTGCATTGACAGGCGGATTCTTAACCACTGCGCCACCATGGAAGCCCTCTCTATTCTTTTCTATTTTCTGGGAGAGTTTCTCAATCTCATCTTCCAACTCTAATTTGCTTTTCACATGTACCCAAACTACTCTTTATCCCATGAATGGATTCTTTATTTCAACAATTATACTTTTACACTTAAGATTTCCTCTTGGGTTTTTTCCTTATGGTTTCTTATTCTCATTTCATGTTACTAACATCTTCTCATGTATCATTAAGTGTGCTTCTCATGTGTATTTAAAAATCTTATTACAGTAATCAAGACAGTATGGTACTGACACAAAAACAGAAATATAGATCAATGGAACAGGATAGAAAGCCCAGAAATAAACCCACGGACATATGGTCACCTAATCTATGACAAAGGAGGCTAGAATATACAATGGAGAAAAGACAGCCTCTTTAACAAGTGGTGCTGGGAAAACTGGACAGCTACATGTAAAAGAATGAAATTAGAACACTCCCTAACACCATACACAAAAAAACCCTCAAAATGGATTAAAGACCTAAATGTAAGGCCAGGCACTATAAAACTCTTAGAGAAAAACATAGGAAGAACACACTTTGACATAAATCATAGCAAGATCCTTTTTGACCCACCTCCTAAAGTAATGAGCATAAAAACAAAAATAAACAAATGGGACCTAATGAAACTTAAAAGCTTTTGCACAGCAAAGAAAACTATAAACAGAACAAAAAGACAACCCTCAGAATGGGAGAAAATACTTGCAAATGAAGCAAACAACAAAGGATTAATCTCCAAAATATACAAGCGACTCATGCAGCTCAATATCAAAAACAAACAACCCAATCCAAAAATGGGCAGAAGATCTAAACAGACATTTCTCTGAAGAAGACATACAGATGTTTTGTTCATCTCTGTTTGTTTTTTCTTTAATTCTTCTAGGTCTTTGTTAAACATTTCTTGCATCTTCTCGATCTTTGCCTCCATTCTTTTTCCGAGGTCCTGGATCATCTTCACTATCACTATTCTGAATTCTTTTTCTGGAAGGTTGCCCATCTCCACTTAATTTAGTTGTTTTTCTGGGGTTTTATCTTGTTCCTTCATCTGGTACATAGCCCTCTGCCTTTTCATTTTGTCTATCTTTCTGTGAACGTGGTTTTCATTCCCTAGGCTGCAGGACTGTAGTTCTTCTTGCTTCTGCTGTCTGCCTTCCAGTGGATGAGGCTATCTAAGAGGCTTGTGCAGGCTTCCTAATGGGAGGGACTGCTGGTGGGTGGAGCTCAGTAAAACTTTACTCTGCTTGTCTGCTGATGGGTGGGGCTTAGTTTCCTCCCTGTTGATTGTTTGGCCTGAGGCGATCCAGCACTGGAGGCTATAGGCTCTTTGGTGGGGCTAATGGTGGGCTCCAGGAGGGCTCATGCTAAGGAGTGATTCCCAGAACTTCTGCTGCCAGTGTCCTTGTCCCCACGGTGAGCCACAGCCACCCCCCACGTCTGCAGGAGACCCTCCAACACTAGCACGTAGGTCTGGTTCAGTCTTCCCAGGGGTTACTGCTCCTTCCCCTGGGGCCCGATGTGCACACTACCTTGTGTGTGCCCTCCAAGAGTGGAGTCTCTGTTTCCCCCAGTCCTGTCGACGTCCTGCAATCAAATCCCGCTAGCCTTCAAAGTCTGATTCTCTAGGAATTCCTCCTCCCGTTGCCGGACCCCCAGATTGGGAAGCCTGACGTGGGGCTCAGAACCTTCACTCCAGCGGGTGGACTTCTGTGGTGTAAGTGTTCTCCAGTCTGTGAGTCACCCACCCAGCAGTTATGGGATTTGATTTTATTGTGATTGCACCCCTCCTATCGTCTCATTGTGGCGTCTCCTTTGTCTTTGGATGTGGGGTGTCTTTTTTGGTGAGTTCCAGTGTCTTCCTGTGGATGATTGTCCAGCAGTTAGTTGTGATTCTGGTGTTCTCGCAAGAGGGAGTCATTTTGTTTACTTTTGGTTCAGTGATTAGTTAGGAATCAACGTTTCTATAAAGAAGACATACAGATGGCCAAGAGGCACATGAAAAGCTGCTCAACATCACTAATTATTAGAGAAATGCAAATCAAAACCACAGCGAGGTATCACACAGGTCAGAATGGCCATCACCAAAAAATCTACAAACAATAAATGCTGGAGAGGGTGTGGAGAAAAGGGAACCCTCTTGCACTGTTGGTGGGAATGTAAATTGATAGAGCCACTATGGAGAACAGTATGGAGATTCCTTAAAAAACTAAAAATAGAACTACCATATGACCTAGCAATTCCACTACGGGGCATACACCCAGAGAAAAGCATAATTCAAAAAGACACATGTGCCCCAATATTCATTGCAGCACTCTTTATAATAGCCAGGATATGGAAGCAACCTAAATGTCCATCAGCAGAGGAATGGATAAAGAAGGTGAGGAACATATATGCAGTGGAATATTACTCAGCCATGAAAAGGAACGAAATTGGGTCATTTGTAGAGACATAGATGGACCTAGAGACTGTCATACAGATTGAAGTAAGTCAGAAGGAGAAAAACAAATATTGTATGTTAACACATACATGTGGAATCTGAAGAAATTGGTGTAGATAATCTTATTACAAAGCAGAAATAGAGACACAGATGTAGAGAACAAATGTATGGATACCAAGGGGGAAAGCGGGGGTGGGATGAATTGGGAGATTTAATTGACATATATACACTCTTGATACTCTGTGTAAAGAAGATAACTAACAAGAACCTACTGTATAGCCCTGGGGACTCTACTCAGTGCTCTGTGGTGACCTAAATGAGAAGGAAATCCAAAAAAGAGGGGCTATATGTATACATATAGCTGATTCACTTTGCTGTACAGTAGAAACTAACACAATATTGTAAAGCAACTATACTCCAATAAAAATGTTTTTTTAATTAGAAAAAATATCTTAGTCATTGTGTTGCAATGGTTCTGCTTCAGATGGTATATGATGTTCAGTTTGTTGTATTTTTCAGGAGTCGTACTCCTCAGGTATCTATTTTGACTTGTGAGTTCACATTCCTTGTGCCCATTGGCCCCTCTGTCTGGTAACTTGTATTAGGAAAGAGCTGAAGGTTGGGGACCGTCTCAGCATAATTATTAATAGCGCACTCTTTTTTTTTTTTTTTTTTTTTTTTTGCGGTACGCGGGCCTCTCACTGTTGTGGCCTCTCCCGTTGCGGAGCACAGGCTCTGGACGCGCAGGCTCAGCGGCCATGGCTAACGGGCCCAGACGCTCCACGGCATGTGGGATCTTCCCGGACCAGGACACGAACCCGTGTCCCCTGCATCGGCAGGCGGACTCTCAACCACTGCGCCACTGGGGAAGCCCAACAGCGCATTCTTGTCACTTTCAAAAGTATCCTGGCTTGGATGACATGTTATAATGTCACTCTTGTTGAAAGCTAAGATCCAGGGTGTGTTTTCCTCAGTAAGTTTAACATGAGTGGAGGTGATGAGCCTGGGCACAGAGAGTCTCAGGAACCATGAAACACTGTGACCAGGCAAATCCTCTGATCAGGGTATGTCGCCTTTCAGCTCCTGGGCAAGGCAGCATTGGGGGAGACAGTCGCCCTAGGTTGTCACCTGGGGCTTTGGAGATGGGGTGTGGATGAGTGAAGGCCCAAGGATTGCTCTTCAGCCCTTTCCTGTTTTCATCAGCTAACCTAATCCTACCCTAACTTTATCCTAACTACATCTGGGTAGTTGCTACTGGGTTCTACTGAAGAGGCACTTACTGTCTCCAAGCAACTCAAGGGAAAGGCAGGAACCGAGCTTAAAATTTCCCCTCCCACTGAGCCCCTCCAGGCTGCCCTTGGCAGCCCTTTTCCTCAGTCTGTCCACCAGTTAAGGGTCGACTCTTTAGAGTCTTCCAGTTTTGTGTTATTTCTTGGAATCCATACTTCCATTCATCTTTTATAGTTTTGGGAGGAAGGCTATTTCTCATCTTGGATAGGAACCCAAGATTTCCCAGGGAATTACTCTGAGAATCTTGAAGTGTTTTTGAAATTTAAAATATGTATCAGTTTATATTGTTTTCCTGTACTGATGTTTTGAGGCATAACATTTGATGAAGAAGGCAGGCCGCCTAAAAACCAATAATATTTGTGAAATGGTGAATATTCAGCATGATCTTATGAGGTTGACGGATGCAAAGTGCATTTTTATGTGTCTTATTTTACAGCTGAGGAAATTGAGTTGTAGAGAGATTAAATTATCCAAGCCAGTGATTTGGTGGTGGGGAGTCTTGGTTTTGGATAATATAACCAAATATCTTTTTGAAATAAATTCAGAGAAAAATAACAAGGAATCATGCTAAACATGCTCTACTTCTAGTTCAGAAAAAAAATTTTAAATATTATATAGGCCACCCTTGATCGACCTACCTGTTTCCTCTCTACTGAATGATGACAAGTGACTAGTCCTTGGCGTTGGAATATTCGTTGTTCTGGCATTTTCTTTTTTTTTTTTTTTTTCCTGTAACCCTTCATCCACCTCCTCGTCCCTATACTCTCGGCTCTTTCGTGTTTCCCAAATTGATTCCAGAGTGTGTGCATGGTTGGCAAAATGGGGAAGGAGAAAGGAGGTTTAATAATGAATGCTACATCTCCTTTGCTTCTTTCCCTCGCTCTCCAGTGGATTCACAAACACACACACAGCCCAGAGGCTGTCTCAGAGAGCCCAGTGCTGTACTCAAACGGTTTATTTAGGTTTTTCCCATATTCATGATTTTACTTTTCATGTCTTGAAATTCTATTGGGAAAAAGAAACTAATCGCCTTCCAAACTGTCTGACGTATTTTTTGTATGATTTTTACTCTTTGGCAGAGTTATGGATGCCTCTTTAGGCTCCTCTGACGACGTTGAAAAGGGGTGAGTTGACTGATGTGGGTGGTGAAAGGTATCGGGAGCGCTGACCGCAAAGGGAGGTCTCTTTCCATAAGAGACTGGAAGCTTCTATAGGTAACTTTCTTTTGGGGTCTAGATGGAAAAAAGAAGAGGTCATAAGTGGGAGAATCCTTACTCATAGTCTCTTTGTGACCTTTAGTAACTAGTAGCCAGAACTCTTAGGAAACTCTCAGAATGTCTGTGTGTGTCTCTGCTAGCATGGGCCAGGAAAGGAGGAAGGATGGGGCAGAAGAGAGCAGCCCTGCTCCATCTCAGCTCTGGCCCTCACCCTCCAGAGCTCTGCTACCATCTAAAGCTGGTGTCCCAAGTGTAAACCCACCATCATATTGGAGAGAGCCCCTGCCTCGGGCTTGTTGTTCTTTGAACCAAACTGGGGAACAGCAAAGGAGTACATAGTACAAGAAACGTAGGGCTGCAGGGAAGGGAAGGATAATCGGGAAGTTAGAAGGGGCTGGAAGTTTGTAGATCTACAGGCTGAAGTTGAATTTTGAAGTAAATGCAACCTCAGTGCAGTTACACATGAGAGTTAGGTTTAGAAATCAAGAATTGTACTTTTCTGGGTTTGTCAGTCTTCTTGGACAGGCGTAAGGTCTTCATTACAACTAATAAAGCCCTATTTCTTGGGAAAATTGAAATACTGATTGCCAAATAAGCAACTTCCATGTAGATTTTTAGGGTCCAACCAGTTTAAAAATCGAAGACTACTTGTAACTAATTAACTCTATGAAGTCATTTGGAGTTTGACCGTGTGTTTTTAATTCCTTAGAAATGACCCATATGAAGTGACATCAGGAATCTGTGACGGAGCCACCTGTGAAAGGTGAGGTGTATATTAAGGGGTGGGGGGCCAGGGGAAGTGAAGTGGAGAAATTTGGTCTCGGGATTATCCATGGCAATGCAGAATTTTCTGGACAATGATCTAAAATTCTTTCTAAAAACAGGAATTGCAGTGAGTTATGTTTACTATGTTTTTTAGACTCACGGAATCCTTATTGTTCAGATAAACGCTTTATATCACTATTCCATACAGAATATCACTAATGATAAATTTCTGCATACTAGTGAAGTAAAATAGAACAATTCTTGAGGGTCGATGGTGGTAATAAAGATGTTAACTTTGTTAATTCATATGATAAGTCAGTGTGAAGTTTGAAAGGAGGGAACTGTTGGTGGATCTCTTATCATTGGGAAGATAGGGTTTATACTGACACATGAAGAAAAGGGAAAACTATGGAAAGTAAAGATATAGTGGCACTGAACAGCACCTTCAATCAACTGGACCTAATTGACATTTATAGAAGAGCTCATTTAACAAGAGCGGAATATATATTCTTCTCAAGCTCATATGAAACATTCACCAGTATAGATCACATCCTGGGACATAAAACACACCTTAGCAAATTTAAAAGAGTAGGAATCATACAAAATTTGCTGTCAGACCACAGTAGAGTTAAACTAGAAGTCAGTAACAGAAAGATAGCTCGGAAGTCCCCAAATCCTTGAAGGTTAAACAGTGTACTTCTCAATAACACATGGGTCAAAGTAGAAGTCTCAAGAGAAATTTTAAAGTCTTTTGAACTGAATGAAAATGGAAATACAAACTATCAAAATTTGTAGGATGCAGCAAAAGCAGTGCTTAGAGGGAAATTTACAGCCTTGAATGCATATATTAAAGAAAGATCTAAAATCAATAAGCTTCCAGCTTAGGAAACAAAAGGGAAAAAAGACCAATATAAACCTAAAAAAGCAGAAGAAAAGAGATAATAAAAGAGCAGAAATCAATGAAATTGAAGGCAAGAAAACAATAGAGAAAATCAACAAAGCCAAAAGCTTCTTCTTTGAAAAGATCAATAAAATTGATATCTCTTTGGCCAGGCTAACAGGAACAAGAGTCAGAAGACACAAATTGCTAATGTCAGAAATGAAATGGGGGTTATCATGACTGATCATATGGACATTGAAGGGATAATAAAGGAATATTATGAACAACTCCAAGCCCACAAAGTTGATAGCTTACATGAAATGGAGTAATGCTTTAAAAGATACTACCAAAACTCCTACAAGGAGGAATAGATCATCTGAATAGACCTGTATCTGTTAAAGAAATGGAATCAATAATTAAACCTTCCAAAACAGACACTAGGCCTAGGTGGTTTCACTGGTCAATGGTCAACGTTCCACCAAACATTTAAGGAAGAAATGATGTCAATTCTCTAAACTGTTCCAGAGAATAAAAGCAGAGAGACCACTTCCTAACTCATTCTCTGAAGTCAGCATTACCATAAACCAGACAAAAATGTTACCAAAAAATAAAAGCACAGAACATAGAAGCAAACATTCTAAACAAAATACTGGCCAATTGAATCCTACACTGTATGTAAAAAATTATATACCCAGACCAAGTGGGATTTATCTCAGATAGGCAAGGCCAGTTCAATATTTGAAAATTGGTTAGTGTAATCCATCACATCAACAGGCTAAAGAAGAAAAATTGATTGATGCAGAAAAAGCATTTGGCAAAATCTTACACTCATTCATGATTTAAAAAAAAAAAAAAAACAACTTGGCAAACTAGGAATGGAAGGCAACGTTCTCAACTTGATAAAGAGCAGCCATAAACCCCCTACAGCTAGCATCATACTTGATGGTGAGAAACTCGAAGCTTTTCTGTGAAGACCAGGTACAAGGCAAGGATGTCCCCCCAGTATCACTCCTTTTCAACATCATACTGTAAATCCTAAGAGGGATTATAGTAATGAGCAATGAGAAGGCAATAAAAGTGTGCAGATTGCAATGGAAACAATTAAATGTCTTTGTTCACCTATGACATGATTGTCTATGAAGAAAATCCAACAGAATCAATTAAAAAAAAAACTGGGCTTATTAAGCTTCTGTCCTGTAACCTTGTATAACTGCGTAATATACAAAAGCTGATAACTTCCCCATACGCCAATAATGAACAGGAGGAATTTGAAATTAGAAGGACAACACCATTTAAATTAGGACCCCCAAAATAGATTTATACCTAAGTATTTATCCAACAAAATGTACAAGATCTATCTCAGGAAAACTAAGAAATTCTTATGAATGAAATTAATGAACTAAATAAATGGCAGAGACTTTGCGTTCATGTGTAGGAAGCCTCAATGTCGTAAAGATGTTGAATTCTTTCAAATTGTAGATTCAATGCAATCTGAATCAGAATCCCAGAAAGTTATTTTGGGGATATTGGCAAACTGATTCTAAAGTTTATATGGGAAGGCAAAAGACCCAGAATAGCCAACACACTATTGAGGAAGAGTAAAGTCAGAGGACTGACAATACCCAACTTAAGTCTTAGTGTAAAGCTACAGTAATCAAGACATGTGGTGATGGTTAAAGAATAAACAAATAGATCAAAGGAATAGAATAGAGAACCCAGAAACTGGCCCACACAAATATAGACAACTGGTCTTTGATGAAGGAGCAAAGGTACGACAGTGGAGAAAGGATAGTTTTTCAACAAATCATGCTGGAACAACTGGACATCCACATGCAAAAAATAATCTAGACACAGATCTTACATGCTTCACAAAAATTATATCACAGACCTAAACATAAAATGCAAATCTCTAAAACTCCTAGAAGGTAACACAGGAGAAAAGGTGGATGACCTTTAGTTTAGTAATGACTTTTAGATACAACACCAAAATCAGGATTACGAAAGAAAAGTGATAACTTGAGCTTCATTTGAATTAAAAACTTCTGCTTTGTGAAAGATCTTGTTAAGAGAATGAGAAGACAAGTCAGTCACAGACTAGTAGAAATTATTTGCAAAAGACACATCTGATAAAGGACGGCTATCCAAATTAAACAAAACTCTTAAAACTCATCAGAAAATGAATTATCCAATTAAAAAAATGGGCAAAAGATGTGAACAGACACCTCACCAAAGAAAATACACAGGTGGCAAATAAGCATATGAGAAGATGCTCAACATCACATGTCACTCAGGAATTGCAAATTAAAACAAATTTCGTTGCATGCCTCTTAAAATGGTCAAAATCTGGGACACTGACCACACCAAATGACAGTGAGGGTGTGGACAGCAGGAAACTTCATTCACTGCTGGTCGCAGTGCAAACTGGTGCAGCCACTTTGGAAGGCAGTTTGGCAGTGTCTTACAAAGCAAAATGTAGTCTTGCCATATGATTCAGAAATTATGCTCCAAATGCTTTGGAAACTTGTCTACACAAACACCTGCACACAACTATTTTAGTAGCTTTACTGATAATTGCCAAAAACTGGAAGCAACCAAGATGTCATAGATGAATAGAAAAACAAACTGTGATAGCTATATATAATGGAAAATTATTTCACAATTAAAAGAAATGAGCTATCAAGCCATACAAAGAAACAGAGGAACCTTAAATGCATAAGTGCTAAGTGAAAGAAATCAGTCTGAAAAGGCTACATACTATGTGATTCCAACTATATGACACCTGTGGCAAAGGTAAAACTATAGAGACAGTAAAAAATATTAGGAGTCGGGATTGGGGGGGGCAGAGGGATGAATAGGCAGAGCACAGGAGATGCTTAGGGCAGGGCAACAATTCAGTATGATGCTGTAATGGTGGATACATGGCGTTATGCATTTGGCAAAATCAGTAGACCTGTACAACACAAAGGGTGAACACCAGTTTCAGCTATGGACATTAGTTAACAATAACAGATCGATATTGGTTCATCAGTTGTAACAGATGTACCAGACGAATGCAAGATATTAATAATAGGAGAAACTGTTAGGGAGAAGGAGGTATATGGAACTCTCTCTATTTCCTGCTTAATTTTTCTATAAACCTAAACTTGTTCTAAAAAATAAACTATTTAAAAAAATTTACAACCACAAAGGAATATCACCTCATGCCTGTTAGAATGGCATTGTTGGGCTTCCCTGGTGGCACAGTGGTTAAGAATCCGCCTGCCAATGCAGGGGACACAGGTTCAAGCCCTGGTCCAGGAAGATCCCACATGCTGTGGAGCAACTAAGCCCATGCGCCACAACTACTGAGCCTGCGCTCTAGAGCCCGCGAGCCACACCCACTGAGCCCATGTTCCACAACTACTGAAGCCCACATGCCTAGAGCCCGTGCTCAACAAGAGAAGCCACTGCAATGAGAAGCCCGCGCACTGCAACAAAGAGTAGACCCCGTTCACCACAACTAGAGAAAACCCGCGTGCAGCTACAAAGACCCAATGCAGCCAAAAAAATAAATATAAATAAAATAAATTTTAAAAATATGTATGTATAGAATGGCATTGTCAGAAAGATAAAAAATAACAAGTGTTGACAAGGATGTGGAGAAAAGGGAAGGCTTGTGCACTGTTGGTAGGAATGTAAATTGTTACAGCCACTATGAAAAACACTATGGAAATTTCTCAAAAAATTAAAAATAGAATTGTCATATGACCCAGCAATTCCGCTTCTGAGTATTTATCTGAAGAAATTGAAAACACTAACTTGAAAAGACATTTGCACCCCCGTGTTCATTGCATTATTTACAGTAGCCAAGACATGGCGACAACGTGTCCATTGACCAATGAATGGATAAAGAAGTTGTGGTATATATGTATACAATGGAATATATTCAGCCATAAAAAAAAGAATGAAATCTTGCTATTTGTAACAGCATGGGTAGAACTTGTGGACATTTACGCTAAGTGAAATAAGTTAGAGAAAGATAAATATCATATGAGCTCACTTGTATGTGAAATCTTAAAAAAAGGTCATAAATAAGAGAAAAGATTGGTGGTTTCCAGAAATGGGGGGTGAGGGCTGCGTAGGGGGTGGGTGAAATGGGTGAGGGAAGTCAAAAGGTACAAACTTCCAGTTATAAAATAAGTCACCCTGGGGATGTAATGTACAGCATGGTGACTATAGTGAATAATACTAATAATACCGTATGAGGGATGGTACCTGCAAACTACAGTTGAATTTGAAATAATTGCAAACACAAAAACCAGTTACACCTTGGGATTAGGTTCAGAAGTAAAGAAATGTTTTTAAATCTTGATCCAGTAAGGATTCTTTTACAGGCCTAGGAATTTCATTGCCACCATGTAAAGCCACATTTCTAGGGTAAAATGAAATACGTATTTCCAAATAACCAAATTACGCGTGAATTTGTAATTTTCAATTCATAATTGAAAATTTGTTTCTCTCTCTACAACTTAGCTAATTTGAATGAAAAAAGTAAGTCTATGAAATCACATGATGTTTCTGTACATTTTAATCCTTAAGCTATGAGCCGAATGAATTGATATCTGTAACCAGTAAGGAAGCCATCACTGAAAGGTGAGATTATATACAGATAGATAGATATGTAAAGATGCACATACAGAGATATTTAATACTAAGTTTCTTGTATGCTTTTTCTAAAATGTTGGCATGTTCTGTATGTAACATTCTTTTTTTTGATCTAGTTGGATAAAAGAGAAACAGATCAGAAGAGGGAGACTTACTCCCATCTGAGTGACTAGTAGCCAAAACTCTTAGAAACCTGTTAGATTGCCTGTGTGAGACTCTGCTAGAATGGGTTGTATTAGTTTGCTAGAGCTGCTGTAACAAAATATCACAAATCTAGTGGTTTAAACAACAAAAATTTGTCTCAATCCTCAAGGCTAGAAGTTGGTATCAGGATGTTGGCAGGGTTGGTTTCTTCTGAGAGCTGTGAGGAAGAATCTCTTCCATGCCTCCCTCCTAGCTTCTGGTGGCTGCTGTCAATCGCTCCAATCTCTGCTTTCAACTTCACATGGCATTCTTTACTTTTGTGTAAGGACATCAGTCATATTGGATTAGGAACCCACCCTAACCAGTAGGACCACATCTTGACTAATTACCTCTGCAACAATGCTACTTTTCATAAGGTCACATTCTGAGTTAAAGGGGATAAGACTTCACCATATGAATTTTAGTGGGACGGTGTTCAGCCTACAATGTGGGACAAATGAGGAGAGATTCATATTTGGAAACAAGGGGAAGGCTAGCAGTGGCCTGGGAAGAGATGAGCCCTTAACAGACGGGAATGGAGCTAACAGACCCTAGATCTGTCCCACACCCTCCAGAGCTCTGCCACTACGTAAGGGTCCTCAAACCCAAACCCATGATGGCAGTGGAAGTGGCTGGAGCCATCACTGCCTCAGGCCTGCAGTTGTTGACCCTGTGTGAGGGATCAACATTATGTAGTGTCCTTCCTTGTCTCTTGTAACATTCTTTATTTTAAAGTCTATTTTATCTGAGTATTGCTACTCCAGCTTTCTTTTGATTCCCATTTGCATGGAATATCTTTTTCCATCCCCTCACTTTCAGTCTGAATGTGTCCCTAGGTCTGAAGTGGGTCTCTTGTAGATAGCATATATATGGATCTTGTTTTTGTATCCATTCAGCGAGACTGTGTCTTTTGGTTGGAGCATTTAATCCATTCACATTTAAGGTAATTATCGATATGTATGTTCCTATGACCATTTTCTTAATTGTTTTGGATTTGTTTTTGTAGATCCTTTTCTTCTCTTGTGTTTCCCACTTAGAGAAGTTCCTTTAGCATTTGTTGTAGAGCTGGTTTGTTGGTGCTGAATTCTCTTAGCTTTTGCTTGTCTGTAAAGCTTCAGATTTCTCCGTCGAATCTGAATGAGACCCTTGCTGGGTAGAACAATCTTGGTTGTAGGTTCTTCCCTTTCATCACTTTAAGTATATCATGCCACTCCCTTCTGGCTTGTAGAGTTTCTGCTGAGAAAACAGCTGTTAACCTTATGGGAGTTCCCTTGTATGTTATTTGTTGTTTTTCCCTTGCTGCTTTCAATAAATTTTCTTTGTCTTTAATTTTTGCCAATTTGATTACTACGTGTCTCGGTGTGTTTCTCCTTGGGTTTATCCTGTATGGGACTCTCTGTGCTTCCTGGACTTGGGTGGCTATTTCCTTTCTCATGTTAGGGAAGTTTTCAACTATAATCTCTTCAAATATTTTCTCTGGTCCTTTCTCTCTTCTCCTTCTGGGACCCCATATAATGCAAATGTTGCTGCGTTTAATGTTGTCCCAGAGGTCTCTTAGGCTGTCTTCGTTTCTTTTCATTCTTTTTTCTTTATTCTGTTGCACAGCACTGAATTCCACCATTCTTCCAGGTCACTTATCAGTTCTTCTGCCTCAGTTATTCTGCTATTGATTCCTTCTAGTGTAGTTTTCATTTCAGTTATTGTGTTGTTCATCTCTGTTTGTTTGTTCCTTAATTCTTCTAGATCTTTGTTAAACATTTCTTGCATCTTCTCGATCTTTGCCTCCATTCTGTTTCCGAGGACCTGGATCATCTTCACCATCATTATTCTGAATTCTTTTTCTGGAAGGTTGCCTATCTCCACTTCATTTAGTTGTTTTTCTGGGGTTTTATCTTGTTCCTTCATCTAGTCCATAGTCCTCTGCCTTTTCATCTTGTCTGTCTTTCTGTCAATGTGGTTTTGTTCCACAGGCTGCAGGATTGTAGTTCTTACTTCTGCTGTCTGCCCTCTGGTGGACGAGGCTATCTAAGAGGCTTGTGCAAGTTTCCTGATGGGAGGGACTGGTGGTGGGTAGAGCTGGCTTTTGCTTTGGTGGGCAGAGCTCAGTAAAACTTAAATCCACTTGTCTGCTGATGGGTGGGGCTTGGTTCCCTCCCTGTTGGTTGGTTGCCTTCAGGCAAACCAACACTGGAGCCTACCAGGGCTCTTTGATGGGGCTAATGGCAGACTCTGGGAGGGCTCACGCCAAGGAGAGCTTCCCAGCACTTCTGCTGACAGTGTCCTTGTCCCCTCGGTGAGCCACTGCCGCCCCCCACCTCTGCAGGAGACCCTCCAACACTAGCAGGTAAGTCTGGTTCAGTCTCCTATGGGATCACTGCTCCTTCCCCTGGGTCCCGATGTGCCCACTACCTTGTGTGTGCCCTCCAAGAGTGGAGTCTCTGTTTCCCCCAGTCCTGTCGACGTCCTGCAATCAAATCCCGCTAGCCTTCAAAGTCTGGTTCTCTAGGAATTCCTCCTCCCGTTGTTGGACCCCCAGATTGGGAAGCCTGACGTGGGGCTCAGAACCTTCACTCCAGCGGGTGGACTTCTGTGGTGTAAGTGTTCTCCAGTCTGTGAGTCACCCACCCAGCAGTTATGGGATTTGATTTTATTGTGATTGCGCCCCTCCTATCGTCTCATTGTGGCGTCTCCTTTGTCTTTGGATGTGGGGTGTCTTTTCTGGTGAGTTCCAGTGTCTTCCTGTCGATGATTGTTCAGCAGTTAGTTGTGATTCTGGTGTTTGTGCAAGAGGGAGTGAGAGCACGTCCTTCTACTCCGCCATCTTGAACCAACCTTGAGTCATTAACTTTTTGTTGGGTCAAAAATATTCATTACAATGTATATAGAATCATTTCTAGGAAAAATGAGATATCAAGTTCCAGATAACTGATTGACATGTGAATTTCCTAAGAGCCAACCAGTTGATAAGCTTAAGTGTAATTGTAGCAGGGAATTCTCTGGCGGTCCAGTGGTTAGGACAGCACACTCTCACTGCTGAGGGCCCAGGTTCAATCCCTGTTTGGGGAACTAAGATCCCACAGGATGCACAGTGCAACCAAAAAAAAAAAAAAAAAAGTAATTATAGCTAATTTGAACTAAAAATTTAAAGGTCTAGAAGTCATGTGGTATCTTACTATGTCATTTTTAATACCATAGCACAAAAACAAAAAAATACCATAGCACTACCCTGAGTGAATTGGCAGGAGGATTCTTCATGGTAAAGTAAGATATGATAAATAAATACATGTATAATACGTACATACATAACATATTCAGAGAGATTGAGATTTGGGATGTTCACCCTTAGGAGCACCCATGGGAATATAGAGTTCCCTTCATACTGTTTCTAACGTCCACTCATGGTAAGATTCTATGTGGAATAGTCTTTGTCTTTTGAAGTGAGGTAGAAAAAGAGGCACAAGACATAGAGGGAGTCTTCTTACTCCCAGTCTTGACTCTCAGTTACTAGCAGCCAAACTCTCGGAAAACTGTCAGATTGCCTGTGTATGAGACTCTCCTGGAGTGGGTGTGGGGAAGATGAAAGCCGTCTGGAGCAAGGAGAATAATAATAAATTGTATCAGCTACTATGTGAGGCCGATAACCCAAATCCAGACCCATGTCCACATCAGATGGAGCCCCTGACTCAGGCCTGTAGTTACTTGACCCTATGTCAGGAGCAGGAAAGACGAGCATGCTTCCTGTGGAGCACAGACGTGGTCAGGAAGTTAGATTGGTCAAGAAAGTTGGGTACCTACAACCTGAAGTTGAATTTGAAATAAATTCCACCCCAAAAGGTTGTTACACATTGGATCAGGTTCAGTAGTAAAGAACTGTACTTCAGTCTTGAGTCATTACCTTTTTGACAAGTGTAAGATATTCATTACAAATACATAAATCCTCATTTCTGGGGAAAATGACCTACCAGGTTTCAAGCAATCGATTTACATGTCAGTTTTTAAAGGGTCATCTAGTTTATAAGTGAAAGCATTAATTTAAACTAATTTGAACCAGAAGGTTTAACTGAGAAAATTATAGGGTGTCTGACTCTGTGCCTTTTTAATCCTTTAGCACTGCTTTGAGTGAATTGACAACAGGAAGACCTGATGGACCCACCACTAATACGTGAGATAGAAATAAAGATAGAGAAATGTCAACAAAAAAATATATATGTATATAAATGCAGAGAGAGAGAGCATGCGAGAATGAGAGAAACAGAGAGAGGAAAGGGGAGAGAGGTTGATTGTATTTGGGAGGTTCATTTTTAGGAGTATTCATGACATAACAGAGTGTCTTTGACATTGTTTCTAAATCTTTTTACTGTAGCCTATGTAAGTATGTTTCTTTCTTTTTTTTGTATCTAGTTGGATAAAACAGAAACAGGTCATAAGAGGGGTGCTTCTTACTCATCTGTTTATCACCCTTAGATGCAACCGAAACCCCTAGGGAACTATCCAAATGCTTGTGTGTGAGGCTCTACTAAAATGGGCCAAGAAAGGAGAGAAACTGATTTTGCGAGGAGAAAGTTGTACTCCTGAAGGGGTTCAGGAGTCAAGAAATGTCTATAAACTTGATTCATGACTTCCCCCACCCCAGGGCTTAAGATTTTCATTACAAATGTATAAAGCTTCACTTACAGGGGAAAAATGAAATACCAGGTTTTAAATAACTGATTAGAATGTTATTTTTAGGACAACTAGGTTATAAATTGTAGAGCAATTGTAGCTAATGTGCACTTAAAAATAAGTCTAGGGAGATGTGAAGTCTTACCATGTGCATTTATAATCCTTTAGCTATGACCAGAGCGAGGTGGAAAAAGTAACTTGTGTTGAACCCTTCGATGAAAGGTGAGATATAATTATATATAGATAGTGTAAGGGGGGATATTGAAATTTGTGAAATTTATTCTGGGGACCATCTATGGCAATACAGAGTTTCTTCGACGCTTTATCTAAGGGTTTTGTTTGTTTTGCCAGCCTCAATATGTTTCTTTCTTTCTTTTTTGGATCTATTTGGGGGAGAAAAAAGAACAGGTCATAAAAGGGAGTGTTCTTACCCCTAGTCTGTTTGTTACCCTTAGTTAGGAGCAGCCACTATCTGATACTTTCCTTTAGGATCAGATTGCCCATGCGTGGGCCGGAGAGAGGACAGAATCATAATAGGAGTTAGGAGAGGGTCTCAGTGGATAGAGAGCAGAGGGGAACCCTCAGCAGAAAAAAATGGATCTGATCCTGGATGTGTCCCTCACCTTCCAGAACTCTGCCACCATGTGAGGCTGGTGCCCCAAACCCAAACCCAAACCCACCATCACATTGGAGGGAGCCCCTGCCTTGTCTTGACCCTGTCTGAAGGGCAGGAAAGACGTCTGTGATTTGTGAAGAGTTACTAGGTGGTGTAGGGACTTGAGAAGGCAGAAAATTATAGGACAAGTGAGATGAGTACCTACAAACTCAAGCTGAATTTGAAGTAAATTTAATCACAAAATGGTGTTACACTTGGGGGTTAGGTTTGGGAGTAAAGAAATGTACATAAATTTGATTTATTAAGTTTTCCCACAGGACTAAGATTTTTATTACCAACATATAAAGTTCATTTCTACAGAAAAATTAAATACCAGGTTTTAAATAACTGATTAGAATGTTATTTTTAGGGCGACTAAATTGCAGAGTAATTATAGCTAAATTGCATTTAAAAATAAATCTATAAGACACATGGAGTCTTACTATGTACATTTTAATCCTTTAGCCCTGACTCATGTGAATTGAGAGGCAGAGATGAAAGGTGAGATATAAATATAGAGAGAGGGTAAAAGGGGAGGACATTGAGATTTGTGAAACCCAATTAGTTATGGAGTCCTTGTCTCAGGCAATGATTTGAAACCTATTCAAGGAGAAAACGATATCCATAGTATGTGAAAAGTAGGTGGTGCAGGGACCCAGGTTCCAAATAACTGACATATAAGCTTTTTAGAGTTCAACCAGTTTATAAGTTCTAGAGCAAGTGTATCCAATTTCAGCCAAAAAAAAGTGAAGTCATTTCGTGCTATGTACATTTTTAATCCTTCACAGTGACCCAAATAAATTGACATCAAAGGTCTTTGACTACTTTGATATATCTTGCCTTTTAGTTATGGTGCCTTCCAAGGCTGCTGATATAATTTACTTGCATCAGTGCTATCTATATATTATTAATCTCTGTCTTTATAGAAAGAGTGAGACAGAGAGAAGCAGAGACAGAGACATAGGGAGAAACAGAGAGGGAAAGACTTGCAAATTTCAGTCTTAGAAGTATCCATAGGAATACAGAGTTTTCTAGACAATGATTCTAAATTTCTTTCTGTAAGTTTGGGTCATCCAGTGAGCTAAGTCATGGTTCCTTTAGATTTAAGGAATTCTTTTTCTTCAAATAAGTTTTTCATATCACTGTTCCATGTAGCAAATCTCTAATGATATATTTTTGCATTTGTTGGCGGTTAAAGTATGAAGGAACAGCTGTCCAAGATCGATGATGGTGATGAAGACATTGACCTTCTCAATTCACATTAGTAAGTCAGTTTGAAGTTCAGAGGGAGGGAGCTGTTGACGGATTTCTTATCTTTTAGAAGATGGGGCTTATGCTGAGGTGAAAAAAAAAGGAGCTATGGAAAAGATAGCAAAATGTTTGGGAGGGAGGGTGTAAAATGATTCCATTTGAATTTGTATATAAGTACCATACTTGAAAAAATATTTCCACATATTCACAAGTGTTCTTCTAGTTTGAAAATGTGAAAATATCCTTAGTAGAGACTAATTTTATTACAAAGTTTCTTTCTAAACAGAGGATTGCAGAATGCTACTTGCTCTTCACTTGTGTTCCTTTCTCATTTTTCTTGGATATGTTCTGATTCTTAGTTTTGTTGATTTCGTCTATGAGCAAATGGGACTGAGAGCAAAAGTAAACATGTTTTGCTGATTAAAGACCTCTTAATGTCCATTGGGATTTTATTAATTTTGAGTAATCTCACGAGAGTACTTCCTGTTGCACTGATCTGAAGGCATTTTTACCTGTACTCAATGACAGGGACACGATACCTTCTTAAAATCACATACGTCTGAGTCTCCCTCCCCCAAACTACTGTGTATAAAATAAGCATCAAGGATATATTGTACAGCACAGGGAAATATAGCCATTATTCTGTAATAACTTTAAATAGAATATAAGCTATAAAATTATTGAGTCACTATGTTGTACACCCAAAACTAATATAATATTGTAATTCAATTGTACTTCAAAGAAAAGCCCATATGTCTGGACTGCAGAATTATTCATGCAATTTTTCTTCTGCTACTCTCTTGGCCAGTTACTTAACCATTCACCAACTTGAATTAATGTTGGGGAGTGAGTATTGCTAAAGAGGCAATGAATTGGTTACTGTTGTAATCTGTTGGTGTCTAGACAAAAACAACATGAAAAATAAAGGGGCGACTAATGAATACAAGTAGTTCTTCAAATTACCCATGAATTTCCATTTTCTGTTTTTTCATCATGGGCCATCAGTGAAGAGTTCACTCTGCTACTTAATTAAATGATATGTCTGCATATTAACTATATATTTTCTGCAATGAGGCTGCCCAGGGCGGGGGGCAAAATTTGAATAGACTGAGGAAGGCAAGCATTTCCTTCTTCTTACAAACAAAAAGTGTTAGTTTAGTTTTGTTTTTTAAATTACAAATGCTTATGGTATAGATTTGGGTGGCATTTGCAATAGTCCCTGTGTGAGAGACACTGGTGTTTCAGACTGGGGGATGGTATTAGATTTGGAGTAAGACCTGGAATCAGTGCTTGGCTTTGGCATCTAATATGCACTGGACACTTGGCAAAATACTAAACTACCTTAAATTTTAGGTCTTTTATCTGTAAACTGGTAATAATGCTATCTACAATATCTATCTACTGGGTGCTAGGTGTAGTATAATAAAAAAACTAAAAATAAATGTGGAGTGATATGTACACACATATTATTCAGTGTGATTTTAAAACTCTAAAGCACCATAAATAATTTTTATACTAAAAACCAAAAATAAAGCAACAAAATTTCACTATTAGGAAAATCAGAAAATACAAACAAGCAATAAATCCTCCCATTAATAGGCATTGCTAATGTTTAATAGATGCCCTTCAAGGTTCTTTAGGCTTTTTGTTTATGGATATGGTATCATACATTGTTTTAAAAATAACCTTATTACTTAGTGACATATCATGACTATATTTCCATGCATTTACATTTACAACATTATATATTTTTTAATTTCAGATTTTTTATTGTTGCCTGAAGTTCTGCCTGTATTTGACTTTATTGATTTTTAAATTTGCAACATTCCTTTTGACAGCTGTATAATATTTCATGGTATAGATGTTTAAATTGTCATTCATTTAAATTGTCAGATATTTCTGGACATTTAAGCTGTGACTTCTTAAAAAAAATGATGAATAACTTTGAGACCAAACCTCTGTATATTTTATTTCTTTATAATAAAAATTCTCAGAGGTGGAAATTCTGTGTCAAAAGGAACGTTTGTGAGGCTATTGATTTTGATACTTTCCACACCAAGATGCAGTGTACATTTCTTCCCCTTTCACGCTAGCCATCGCTCATCTTTTCAATGTTAGTAAATATGTTTGTTCTAATGCACATTTGACATTGTTTTTGTTTATACTTTTTTCATAGAACTTGTATTTCATTGTTTGCAAACTACCTTTGCCTGTTTAAAATCGGGGTGTTTATCACTGCCATTGGATAGAAAAGTTAAATATATCCTTTTTATATCATAGATAGGGCAAGTATTTTTTCCCAGGTTGCCTAGCTTTTCACTATATAGAAGTTTATAATCCTCATACAGTTGAGTACATCTGTCCTTTTCTTTATGATCGATGCCTTTAGTGTCAGAAAGTCTTTCTCTACCTAAGATTTTAATATATTCACCAAAATTCATCTATGTTTTGAATTTATTTTCTATATTTAAATAAAACATCTGCCCAGGATTTATTTTGTATTAAGGTATAAAATGTAGGAGTCTACTTTTCTCCCAGGTGACTACTTAGTTTTCCCAGCATCAAAGTTGCATCCCCCTCCATTGTCCTTACCCTAATTTAATGATCCTTATTGCATTTATCACCTTATAACTTACTACCTTATTTACTTATTTATTATATTCATGGTCTGCACGAGACAGAATTTAAACATCATGATGGAAGAAAATTTTGTCCATTTTTTTAACTGCTGTATCTCCAGTGCCTCAAACAGTGCCATGGCACATAGTAGGCACTCAGTGAGTTTGGCTGAATGAATGAACCCATTATTGAAAACATTTATATCTTGTTCAAAGATTTTAAAATCCATCTCTATTATGTTATGAATCTTTATACACTGGGTCTTTCCAGAATCTATTTAATCATTTTTCTAGCCTTCTGATTTCAGCATGCTTTTCACACATTATGATATAATTTATAGTGAACTAAAACACTTTTTAAAAACATAAGTTCCATCTTTTCCTCTTTCCCTTTTGTTTTTGGAGTCACAAATTACCTGTTTTTGTTTAGTGAGTTTGTTACCAAACTATAGATAGCTATAGTTATTTTTCTACTTTCTTTTTTTCTCTCCCTTTAACCTTTATACTATAATAAAGTATTTAAAAACCTATCTTGGTAAAGAGTGGCAATTTTCTGGTTCTATTTATCACCTTGCTCAAAGTTTTGTGTATTTTTGTCATTTTGTTTCTGATAGAAGAGTTCCTTTCAACATCTCTTGTAAGGCAGGTCTAGTGTTGATGAACTCCAGCTTCTCTTTGTCTGGGAAAGCATTTATTTCTCCTTCATATCTGAATGATAACTGTGTTATATAGAGTGTTCTTGGGTGACAGTTTTTATCTTTCAGTATTTTGAGAATGTCATTCCACTCCCTCTTGGCCTGTAGGGTTTCTGCTGAGAAATCTGCTGATAGCCTAATAGTGGGGGTTCCCTGGTAGGTTACCATCCTTTTTGCCCTGGCTGATTTTAAAATTCTTTGTCATTCACTTTTAACAATTTTAATAATATGTGTCTTGGAGAAGGTCTTTTTGCATTGAGGTAATTAGGTGTTCTCTTAGCTTAATGGACTTGTAACTCCAGTTCCTTCCCCAAGTTTGGGATGTTCTCAGCTATTGTTTCTTTAAATAAACTCTCTGCTCCCTTTTCCCTCTCTTCTCCTTCTGGGATATGCACTATCGTAATGTTGTCCTTCCTGAAAGAGTCAGATAACTCTCTCAGGATTTCTTCCTTTTAAAAATCTTTTTTCTCTTTCCTCTTCCACTTGTATCATTTGTAGATTGCTGTATTCCAGCTTGCTAATTCTCTCTTCCATATTGTCTGCTCTGTTTCCAATGCTTCTAATGTGTGTTCTTCATCTCATTTATTGAGTTCTTCAGCTCCAGAGTTTCTTTTTGGTTCCTTTTTATTTATTTATTTATTTTAATTATTTTTTATTGACGTATAGTTGATTTACAATGTTGTGTTAGTTTCTGCTGTACAGCAAAGTGAGTCAGTTATACCTATACATATATATCCACTCTATTGAGTAGAGTTCCCTGTACTACACAGTAGGTTCTTATTCGTTATCTATTTTATATATAGTAGTGTGTATATGTCAATCCCAGTCTCCCAATTGTTTCTTTTTAGAGTTTCAGTCTCTTTGGTAAAATATTCTTTCTGTTCATTCATTTTTATTCCTGAGCTCATTAAAGTACCTTTCTGAATTTTCTTATATCTCATTGAGTTCATGGGCTGTGCCACTGCAGGTGGGGGAGTGGCAGTGAGGTTGTGGTCACCTCGACTGCTGGAGGGACAGGATCCCAGGCTCCACTGTTGGTCAGTTACATGGAGCCATGGGTGCTGGTGTGGTCTGGAGCCTGTAGTCATGTGTTCTGCTTCCCCTGCTGCTACTGTGTTCTCTGAAGCTGTGTGCACAGCTGCTGTGGTCAGAGGGCCAGGATTGCAGGCACTGATTCCACTGTTCCCTCGTTGCATCTCTTCTAAGTGTTCCAATTCACCCGCCTTTAGATGTACAGATGTGTGGAGTCCTCTGGCAAACTGTTGTGTTGGACAGTGGCACCTTTGTTGAGTTGTGGGTTTTATTGGTTGTAGATTGAAGGGGAGAGACAAAGGTAGTTTTTCACTGTGTCATGTTTCTGACATCACTGTGAATGTACCATATTTTCTTATCCATTCACCCATTGATGGGCATTTGGATTATTTCCAGTTTTGGCCTGTTATGAGTAATGTGGCTATGAACATTTATGTACAAGTTTTTTGTGTGGACACAACTTTCATTTATCTTGGGTTAGTGCCAAGGAATAGGATTGCTGATACTTATGGTAAAGTGTATGTTTAATTGTATAAGAAATAGTTTCCAAAATGGCAGTACCATTTCACATCTCTTCTTTAGGTTTTCATTTTCTTTTGTCAAGTTTTGTAATTTTTAGCATACAGATCCTGCACATATTTTGTTACTTTATAAAAAAGTATTTCATGGGTTTTGGTGCTAATAGAAATGGTTCAGTTGCTTAAATTTCTACTTTTCAATCATTCATTGCTAGTATATAGAAATATAGTTGAATTTTGTATATTGACCTTTTATACAATAACTATTAAACTCACTTATTCTGTTAGCTTTTTTGTAGATTCCTTGGGATTTTCTAGGTAGGTAAGCATCTCATCTACAAATAGTGAGAGTTTTATTTCTTCCTTTTCAATCTATAGGCCTTTTATTTCCATTTCTTCCTTTATTACATTGACTCCAATATAATTCTGAGTGGAAGAAGTGTGAACTGACATCCTAGATTCCTAATCATTGGAAGAAAACTTTCAGTCTCACCATTAAGATTGATATCAGCCATAGGTTTTTTGTTTGTTTGTTTGTTTGTTTTGGGGGGACATAAATGCCCCTTGTCAGGTTAAGGAAGTTTCCTTTTTTCCTAGTTCACTGAAAGATTTTATCATAAATGGATGTTAAATTTTGTTTAAAAATTTTTTTACCTCTATTGAGATTATCATATGGTTTATTTTCCTTAGTTTATTGACATGGTGAATTACATTATTTTTAGAATGTTGAACCATCCTTGAATTCCTGGAACAAACACCAAGTGGTCATGAATTTAAAATATATATATACTGCTGGGTTCAATTTATTAATGTTTTGTTAAGGATTTTTGTATCTATATTTATGAGGGATATTGGTAATTTTCTTGTCAGGTAGTGTCTTTACTGGTTTTGGTATCAGAGTAATGCTAATCTCCTAAAATGAGTTTGGAAGCAGTCCCTGTTCTTCTGTTTTATGGAAGAGTTTGTTTAGATTTGTATCTTCCTTAAAGAATTAAGTAGAATTCTCCAGTGAAGTCACTTGGGCTTGGACTTTTTTGTTGTTGTTGGAAAGTTTTAAACTACAAGTTCAATTTCTCTACTAGATATATTACCTTTCAAACTATTCAGGTTATCTATTTTTTCTTGAGCACATTTTAGTAGTTTGTGTCTTTCAAACAATATCTCCATTTAATCTAAGTTGTCATATGTGGCACCTTTAAAATTTCTGTAGTGATAAAATGCAATTAAATATCTTGTATAGTACTCTTCCACTTCACTGGTTTTATTAAATCGTGGTCAGAAAATGTAGTCTGAATAATTTTTATATTTTAGAATACCATTAAAGTTTTTTTTATCTTGTAGGATAAATTTTTTAAAATTTCATAGAAATGCTTTAAATATGTTTTATCTACACAATAGAAAAAAATATATATATATTTTTTAAAATGGATAGTGTTTGACCAGGGACACTCAGATCTTATCCTTGCTACCAACACCCCACTCCAAAGGGAAGTATATCCCTGAGGACCAAGCTGGGCAAAGGACACTCCTAGGTACTTTGGAGGTTCCTCTCTAAGTCCCAGTAAAGAATCCTAATGAGCTAACTTAGGTTGGACTCAGATCTAAAGCCTGACGCTGCTCTCTTCAACCTGAGTTTAATCTAGGAATATAGCCTTGTCTGTTGTGGATAGTTTGGTGGTGGTGGTGGGGGGACCCAGAGCCCTGGAGTGAGAGCAGGAAAACCAAAGAATCATCCCAGTGCCTTTAATGCTTTGAGTATGACCACATGCCTCCCTCCACCATCTGTGCAGAGAAATAAGTGTCCAATGGGAAAGATAGGACCTGCCCCCAATGCAGATCCCACCCCTGTTCAACATGGTCTTAATAGTATCTTATAGAGTCTACCTTCTATCAGTATAAAATAAGTCTTGGTCATAGTTAATATTTTTGCTTTGAATTCAACTTTGATATTAATATTACAACTTTTAATGTTTTGAGATTTAACATTTGCATCTGATATTTGTCCATCTCTTTATTTTCAAACTATCATTTTAATTTAGTTTTTGTCCTTGTATACAGCATATAGTGCCTTTAGTTTTTAAACTTATCTAAAAGTATTTGTCAGTATTTGATATGAGAGTAATGTGTTTGTATTTATTATCATTTCAGGTATGTTTGGTTTTATTTGCTATCATTTTACTTTGTTTTCTGTATTAAACACTTCTTGATACTTTTTCTTTAAATTTTTTAACATTATGCTATTAGTTGATTTGTTTTTATTCAAGTTTTAATAATATGAAAGTTATAAACCTATTTTTAGAAAACATAATTGTACCTTTGTTTCTCCATCAATATCCAGTTTAAAACTGGACTTGTACCTGGGAAGATAGAAATGCAACATGCTTTTACTTCTGTCTTCTGAGAAACCTAAATTAATATGGGAAAACCCTGCAAATTTAAATCCATACTTTTATCGAGAATTTTGTTATTTATCTTTGCTTTTAGAATCATTTGTTTACATTTCCACATGCTACATTAACAATGATTATTTGGACTTAGTTCTGAATTGTTATGACTTTATTTCTTGACACCTTTTCTCTATAAGGCATCTTCCTTATTCTTGCCTCCTTCATTTTTATTCCTTGCTCAGTTGGCTCAAGCACTTCTCTGAGTAGTCATTTTTAGGAAAGTTACATGGTTGCACTGGGTGTTGGGGAGTGTATGTCTGTTGCTCCCAAATATGAATAGTACTTTTTCTAAATGTATAATTACCAAGTTATAGTCCTTTCCCAGCAAACTCCACACACATTGTTTGAAGCTGCATTTATATAGCACATTCTTTTTTTAAAAAAATCTCAATTCTATATTTACTTGGGGTAGTTTTGGGAGGCACTGAAAGTGATAGTAGAGCCTAAAGCCACCCCAAGCCATCCTTTTGTGCCCCAATGATTCTGTCGGGCATGGTTCTGTAAATTCACTTTGTCAAGTAAGTTCTGATTTGTTGTAACATTTGTTTGCTACCCAGAGATCTGATAGTCCGTCTGGGATCAGAAAGGGCTTGTATTAAGAGAATGGCAACCTCAGGGGAGGTTCACCTCTTTTGGCCAATCAGTTCCCCATCCACATCAACCTTTGCTCGCTAAGCCTGGGCAGAGGTAGTGGGTGCAGATGGAGAAGGGAGAAATTAGAGGGGGTGGGGAGATCTTATAGCTCAGCTTAGCCCAACAGCATCCATCTGTGGCCCGTTCCATTTGGCAGTGCCCCAGTTCTATTTGGCATATATCCTCCCTCTTCTCCAGTCTTGGGCACAGTCTGTGAGCATCGCTTTGGGATTAAATCCCACTTGGGGTGGAATTTGGGTCACGTGTTGGAGGCTTCAGCAGGGCAAGAAATTGCTCCTCAATGACTACCTTGTCTCCAGCCGTAGGGCAAAATGAGGCACAACTGCTGGCGCTATAAAACCGTCTCCTCCTCCTACTAACAGAAGGAGCCCAGCCTCCAGCGTGTTTCCCCTTTGAAATGTATCTTACTAACATTCCTCACCTCCAAAGTGCACTTCCCACCCCAGCTGTGAGTCTCATTAATGTTTAACTGTCTTATTCATGGGGTGACTTGTTTCAAGAAATGAATATTACAAGACAAGAGCTTCCCTGAAGTCCCTTATTCTATTGCTGTAGAACAGGTTTGGCCATAGTTTGATGACTTGCCCAGGATCCCACAGCTCACTCATGGGAGAGCGGGAACACACATCTCTTCTACCATTCCCTTCTGTCTCCATGCTCTGTTGCTTTAGTTGATGACCCCAAGCTTAATCTTACCACTAAGTTGGGATTAGAGCTTTACAGTGAAGGGAAAGTTTAGTGGTTTTTTTCACATATGTTCTACATAGAAAAGAAAAAAAGAATCAGGTGAAATTTTTTTTTTTTTTTTTTTTTTTTTTTGCGGTACGCGGGCCTCTCACTGCTGTGGCCTCTCCCGTTGCGGAGCACAGGCTCCGGACGCGCAGGCTCAGCGGCCATGGCTCACGGGCCCAGCCGCTCCGTGGCATGTGGGATCTTCCCAGACCAGGGCACGAACCCGTGTCCCCTGCATCGGCAGGCAGACTCTCAACCACTGCGCCACCAGGGAAGCCCCAGATGAAATTTTTACAGTTATTAGTAAAAAGCATTTTGTTAGGCAACTTCTGGAGACTTTAAAAATTATATTTATTAAAGGCCTTTGTTGGTTAAATTCATACTATATGTTAGGAAAAATCTGATACACTTGAAAGCTCTGAAATTTTATTTTTACTTCTTATTGCAGCAGCAAGATTAAGAGAATTGTGTACTTCATTGTATCATCCTTCACTTTCAGGTATGTGAGACTCCAGAAAAGGAGGTAATTAAGTATGTATTACATTTAATATCAATATTTTTTAATGGCAAAGGATCTGGGAGGGAAAAAAAAAAGGCATTTCCACTGTCAGTATGTCGCTAAATAACCTTTGTGCCCCATTTAATGCAATCTAATTTATCTTGGAATTTTAATTGAAGCTAAACATTAAGAATTGCAAAGAAATGGCATGTACGGAGTCTAATATCAACATATTAACATGTTTTTTTCTACCTGTAAAAGTAAAAATAATGAAACATGCATTTCAAAATTCTATAGTTATAAGGAAAGTGTTTTAGTAAATATTAATAAATACTAGGTGTTTATTCACCTAGAATTACTCCTTAATTCTGGAAACATTTTACTTAGATCTTTCTTCTCTACATGATAGTAAGATTTCATACTGTGTTACAGATTCACACAATGTACTTGCTTCCTTTTAAATTGATATTTTAATTTGCATTGCAATTGTGAAAAAGTGCTTTAAGATTAATTTATCTTCATAGAGTATACAAATAGTATAATCAACTTATAGAGAATGTGTTTAGCATATACAGGAAAAAGGCTTAGGAGTTAGAGTTCAATTATGTATGTATTTATTGAATTGAATTCCTTCTTACGTGCCCAGAACCGTGCCAGAACCATCCATTGATATGTAATCTTATATTTGTTGATAAACTCACTGATAAGAAGCGTTACTGGTCAAAGTAGTCTTTTAAGGGCTTATGTTAGTCATGCTTTCACTTGGTTTTTATTACTAAATTCTTTAAAAATATCAAGATTAATGAGGTTTAATTTATTGTGGGAAATGGGTAGAAGACCCTTCTAAAATTCTTAAATTTTAAGAAGAGTTTACAATCGGAAACATGTAATTTTAATGTAGTTTGCCTCTTCTGTCTTGGAGTGTTGGTCTGATGTGTCTTAATATAAAAGGGCATGACACCATGAAGTGGTTTAGTGGGAAATTTATTTCCCTAACAACTGCTTCTATTGGGTGAAAGCAGAGTCATTTATGTTGAGATTCTAAGGGCAGTTCTCCCTACCACTGAACAGTTTAACCCAAAATAATGACATTTTGATATCAGATCATTGGGCTGAAGTTAGTCTACCTATAGGTGTGAAAACCACTTTATCCTTATTTGATTTATTTATTTGTTGTAGAATATTTGGAATTTTGCTGACCTTTGTGGATCTGTCCCTCATCATTACAGACATAGTTGTCTCTGATGGCACGATGTATATTCCTTTGGAATATCGTTCAGTTTCTTTAGCTATTGCTTTATTTTTTTTCATGGATGTTTTCCTTCGAGTATTTATAGAAGGGTAAGTTTGATTAATTTTTTAAAAGCACATAGAGCTCTTTTGTACTGCTATGAGAAGCATCCCAAGGAATTACCAGGTCAACCCAACTAAATATGCCCCTCTTTATCAAAATAATTCTCCTTGAAGGCATACTCCACAAGAGAAACAACAATCCAAATCCCAATTTCTATCAGATTGAGCTTTAATATTACTATTGCAACTGGCACTCTAGTCTCCAAACCATGTATTCTAGATGGTTCCTTCAACAGGTAAAGCTTAAAGGGTTTGCAAAATGGGGCCAGGCAGCTAATATGTCTACATGCATGTTATTAAGAGGAATATGTATGTGAAGTATAAATATTGATATTTTTATTGAGTTCAATGTAAATAAAAGCTGACAGTATATTAAGTACTAGATAATAGATCATGAGCAAACCCTACCTCAGTTAAAAATCTGTGGTACTTCCCTGGTGGTCCAGTGGTTAGGACTCCATGCTTCCACTGCAGGGGACATGGGTTCGATCCCTGGTCGGGGAACTAAGATCCTGCAAGCTGCACGGCCAAAAAATTTTTTAAAAATGAGAAATTTAAAAATAAATGAACAAAAACTTGTGTTAAGCTCTATGGGAGAGCGAGTCAGGGACTAAACTCCCCAGCCTCACTTCATCCAGAGCATTTTGGAACATGCTTGTCTCCTTTCTGGCTGAATCTCTGTCCTCGTGCCTCTGAGCTGAGGACAGTTGCCCACTCCCAGGTTACTCAGAGCCTAAAGGGGCTATCCCAGGATTAGAAGAAGATTTCCCTGGAGCCCCAGTGCCAATGGCTGAAGGAGCTAGTGTTGAGGAGGTGCCAGGGCTGAAAGTTCAGCTTTGCACAGAGGAGGCCACACCAGCTCACTGGGATTCCACTGTGGGTGCAAAGCCAGGTGATGAGTTTGCAGGCCAAAGTAGTGGACCCATCTTCCTCTCACAAGCTCCTTTCATGCACATCTTACAGCCCGTTTCTCTAGGGCTGTGACATGTTCAGCTTCCATTGTCCGATAGCATCGCTCACCATCCCATCTCTCTCTCTCACCTGTGTGAAGGCAATGCTTGTCTCTTGTTCAATGGTTTGGTTATATCTCTTACTATACTATGCCATATTGATGTTCTTGTCCTATATAAGTATAAAATGAGTATGAATATTTTTTTCCTTAATCTAGTCTAGTAAATGCACTTTAAATCATTCATCAAGGGCTTCCCTGGTGGCGCAGTGGTTGAGAATCTGCCTGCTAATGCAGGGGACATGGGTTCGTGCCCTGGTCTGGGAAGATCCCACACGCCGCGGAGCAACTAGCCCCGTGAGCCACAACTACTGAGCCTGCGCGTCTGGAGCCTGTGCTCTGCAACAAGAGAGGCCACGACAGTGAGCGGCCCGCGCACTGCGATGAAGAGGGGCCCCCGCTCACCGCAACTGGAGAAAGCCCTCGCACAGAAACGAAGACCCAACACAGCCAAAAACAAACAAATAAATAAATAAATAAATCATTCATCAAAGCTGAATTCCTTTTTTTAAAAAATATTTATTTTGGCTGTGCTGGTTCTTAGTTGCAGCATGCGGACTCTTAGTTGCGGCATGCACGTGGGATCTAGTTCCCTGACCAGGGATCTAACCCGGGCTCCCTGCATCGGGAGCGCAGTCTTACCCACTGGACCACCAGGGAAATCCCAAACCAGAAATCTTAAGGGGGATGAGTCAAATAATTTGTGCTTTTAAAATATCCCTACCTCTTCTTTGGGGAAGCATAAACTTATATATATATATTTTTTGTTACAGGATACGACGGTATTTTTCTGATATATTTAACTCCTTAGATGCTGCCATTATTGTGGTGACTCTACTGGTCAATATTGCTTATATTTTCTATGACTTTAAGGTTCTTAAAGATTTCCCCAAGTAAGAAACATATGCTTCCCTTCTCTTAAAGTTTTTCTTTCTTAAAAAATATTTTCTGTGGCTTTCATTTTGTGTCATCTTTTTAACTCTGAATGTGCTAATTCTGTGCTAAATGAGCTGCTCGAAAATGAAACGTTGAGATAAATTTCCACATACCTGGAAACTAAAGGATGCTGGTGTTTAGGGACCAGTGAAGGGTGTCCACACTGAGTACCTTGGGTTGAATGAAGAAGATGACGCCCCCAAAGAAGAAACTGGGGACTTGCCTCTTGTCCTAACTTGAACTTCTCTACATTTTGAAATTCCCACTAAATTCCCACTTGTGCTTCAACCACAAATTTCTTACACGTGAAATTCCTGGGTTTTTCCTATAACCAAGAGAGTACTGGTTTGAGTCGATGAAAAATTTGAGTGCCTCCAATGATGATTCTCTAAAAAGGAACAAATGGAAGAGAAAAACGAGGTGACATGGGTAGAAACACAGAGGTACAATTTTTGCAGTATAGTTAACATGATGAAAGCTGAGGCAAGGTTAGAACTGTTAGGGATCAAACAAAAATGTGTATGAGAGACCGATGGCTTTTTTCTTTCTCCTCCTCTTTCTACTGTGGCAGTGAGAAGAAAAAGAGCAAAAGTGTTCTAGGATGTAGCTGTTGGGTGGCTCACTAGGCTCATTCCTTAGTCAGATAGCTTGCCACTTCCTGCACTCCAGCTTCTCAGGACTTTCCCTCAGGTCCCAACAAAACTTGATGTGACAAGCTTTTGGAGTTTTTGAAAATAACCAAAACCAGTATGGTCTTCAGACAGGCAACCTCAGCATCACCGAAGAGCTTGTCAGAAATACAAGAAGAAAAACACCTCAGGGCCCACTCTAGACCTACTGAATCAGTATGCACACTCAAGCTAGAGAAGCGCTAGCCCAAACCATCAGTTCTTTGCCATCGTGTTTCTTCCTGATGGTAGGAGACACACTTGGGAAGTAACTCATCTGCTACCTGCCTGATGTGTGTTCACAGCTCTAGTGAACCCCTGTTACTCATGGGAGTGACAGAGGGGAATGAGAATTCTGTTTTGATGGGAAAAAGATTGAAAAATGCTTGTCTTAAACCACAGAAGTTAAACCCACAAATTCTGAGAGTCTACCATATGACTACTTCTTTAAATCAGAGTTTCTCAACACCAGCACTACTGATATTTTGGACAGATACATTTTTAGTAAGGGAGCTGTCCTGTGCATCGGTACTGAACAGCTTCCCTGGCCTCTAACCACTAGATGCAAGTAGCAGCCCCTCACAGGCAGTTGTGACAACGAAACATGTCTCTGGACATTGCCAAATATGCCCAGGGTGGGTGGGGTGGGTGGGAGGCTTGGGCCAGGGGGTCGTGTGCAGAATTGCCCCTGGTTAAGAGCCACTGCTCTAAACTTAGTCCATACTGACAAAATCCTCTGTTTCTAAAGCAAAAATGAATCTCTTTTTGTTAGATTGACAATTATTTTACGACCTCTACGACTTATCACTCTGATAAGAGTTTTTCATCTGGCTCATCAAAAACGACATCTTGAAATGCTGACCAGGAGGATGGTAAGTGGGCAAAATATGTTTATGATTCAGAAAAAATGTTTGTGCTTCAGGAAATACTGGCAAGGGTTGTAGATATCTATATATTGTTCTTTTTTTATGTTGATTTATGTTTTACAAATGAATGATTGTTTTAAACCCTCAGGTTTCAGGAAACAAACGGCGATACAAGAAGGATGGATTTGAGTTAGACCTCACTTACATTACTGGTTTGTGAAGTTTTCCTATATTAACATCACGTTTTTCTTGTGTGTGAGTAAGTAATTATATGCTAATTTTGTTCTTTCCCTGTCTGAGGCATGTTCTTTCAAAGCATTTTTTATCCACGAAGACATATGCCACTATGATAGTGGGACATATTTGGAGTTTAACCCTGAAAATGGAAAAATCTTAATTTTCATCTCAATTCAGGGCTACTTGCTTATAGTATAGGAAGTTGAATGGATTTTCAGCTGACTGCATTTGTTTGGTTTAGAATTTATTGTATTCTAGTAGTTATCCTCGGTCCCAAGGATTTCAGAGAGGCCTGTTCTCTTCCTAGAACGCTGAAGTCATTGCTTTGTAGGTCTGAGTTTCTGAGTCAGGGGAACACTGGAAAACATCCTAGGAGTTCCCAACATTGCTGGAGCCCAGATCTCTCATTTTTCTTTGGTGTTTAAATAAGAAATCAATTCCCACCACAGGGGGCCCTCCAGACTAAAGTCAACGCAAATCTGTTGCATAAGGTTAGAACCAGTTGAGACTTGGGAACACTGAATGTAACGGTCAAAATAGTGGATACTCTAATATCCAGTACTGGATATTAAAGTTGATTATCCTGAGGGTTAGTTAGCTTTTTTCCTGTCATTCTCAATCCTGACAGTTCTTTTCTATGAAAGCAGTCTGATTATATGTAAGTCGAGTTCTCATATATTGTTTCACATCTATAACATTTGTTAATAGTGACTATTTTGACTTCCAGAGCGTATTATTGCCATGTCATTCCCATCTTCTGGAAAGCAGTCTTTCTATAGGAATCCCATTAAGGTAAGAGTTTTTATCTAACAAATGCTCACATTTCTCAGTAAACATAGACTGTGGAATTGTGAGATAATGTGGGCCCAGAGATGACACTGTTCTCCTAAAAATTTACTCTTTCAGGTAAAAACTTATCATGGATTGCTATCAATTAGCTTTTGCTCTGTGATGAATCACCCGCAAACTTAAATGACTTATAACAGCAAACATTTACTTTGCTCGTGATAATGTGGTTTGTGAATTTGAGTTGGGCTTAACTGATCAGGGACACGCTTAACTAATTTCAGCAGAGCTAACTCATGCATCTGTGGGCAGCAACTGGGCATCTGAGGGTTGGCTAGTCTAAAATGGCATTGCTGGATGGCTCCAAGTGATGTCTCATTCTGTAACAGGCTAGCTCAGGCTTCTTCACATAAGGCAGTGGCAAGGACCTCACTAGCATCAAGCAAAAGAATGCTGAGGCCCTGGCTCTCAACTAGTATAATGTGGCTTCTACCTTATCCTACTGGACAAGCAAACTACAAACCCGGTTCAGATTCAAGCAGACGACAGATGCCGTCTCTGGAAGGCAGGAATTGTGGTGAATTGTGGGTGTTTTTCATGGTCTGTCATAGGGAAGAAGATTGAGAATTCTTTAACTAAAATGTGTATTCTTAGATTGAGATCCTAAATTACAGTGGATACATACTGCTTTAGGTCCCGTAGATTAAATAAAGTTCAAACATCAAGTGATGCTTACTATGAAATGCCAGTTAAAAGTCATTGTTTAAGAAGTTTGCATATGTGTGTGGGCGTGTATACATTAGTGCAATTTGCAGTATTTGTTCTATCTCAATAAAACTGTAATTATGTATGTATATATGTCTATATATAAGTATGTATATATATAATTATACTTTGAGGCATGTAAATTGTGCTAATCTCATGTATATCTTGATAAAATTATATATAGGTATATATACAGCCAACACCCCTATCAAAATATAGAACATTTCTTGCTCTTTTTCAGTCAATACCCCAACACACTGGAGGTAATTACTATTCTCCCTTGTGTCACAACAGATTAGTTCTACTTTTTCTTGAATTTCACATAAATGGAATCACAGACTACATCTTCTGTGACCAGCTTTCTTTGCTTAAAATGAATTCTGTGGGATTTATCCAATATTGTTGGGTGTACAGTAGTTCTTTCTAAATAGTATAAAATAATATTTATTGCTTCTAGAATACTATTGAAAACTCAAGCATTCAGTTTACTTACAGAAATTATATTATTATACATTGCTTCACAAAGGCAGCAAACACATTACACTCTAAAAAGTCTATTTTACAGAAAATTAAAAATTCTAAATATCAAAAGGTACATCTGAAGAAACAAGTATAAATTTGGCAGCCAGTAATTTTGACAGGAAGTTGTACGGCTTGCATGACTTTAATCTGTGAATATGGCCTTCAGTCATTTAGCTCAAGTTCATCATTAATTTATTTTTCCAGTGTAATTGTGTTTCATACCATTGACATTTGCATACTCTAGAATATGTTAGAAAGAAATGTGTAGTATTCACAAATGTTCAGAAAAGCAAGCAAAAGTTCTGTGAATCTGCCCAGTTCTTCTGAGACGGTCTCACGTCAGCTTCATAAGCATATTCAATCCTACAAAATAGTAAGCTAATGTTTGAACACAATTTCCAAGATAAAGCACATTTTCTCACAAATAGTGAAGTCTTTTCTCAAGCACCACAAAAGCATACAAAAGAATTTTAGTTTGAACAGATCTCTCAGAACGTGTTTAACCTGATATTTCAACAGACTTAAAGTTTCCATGGTTTCACAAGGACCAGATTTTTAATTACTTAGAGGAGAAAGAAATGGCCTTGAAAGATGTGGACTCGATCATTACCAGTAGAAAAAGTATCCAATGCATACCTTATAGAGACAGAAAAATAGAACATTTCCTGTCTCAGAATAATGTGTATGTAATTATATGTAGTATATATTATATATACTATACTATACAGCATATATAAGATAATGTATAGTTGTACATGAAATTATATAATATATAATACATTTCCCTCTTAAAATAGTGTATATTTAAATAAAATGTATATTATAGTATATATTAAATATATATTAATATATAATGTATAAAATATAAAATTAGTATATAGTAAATGTAATAATTATATGTTATATATTACTGCATATAAATTTTATATAGTATAACTATTATTCTATTTATAAATATATATTACATATATATCTTATCTCTTATAGAAACAGAAAAATATAACATTTCCCCCTTAGAATAATACATGTATACTTATAGATAATATATATTATACAGAATAATATATAATTACATGTATAAATTATATATTATATGTATATGTCTTATAACATGTAAATATATTATTCCATTTATAAATATATAATATAAACTCATCTCTTATAGAAACAGAAAAACATAACATTTCCCCCTTTATAATAATATATTTATATATAGTATATTATGTTATTGTATATAATTATATAATATATAAATTATATAACTATATATTACACATCATATAATTATAACAATATAAGTATGCATATATTATGAATATATTAACAGCATAAATATATAATACTATAAGTAGATATGTAACTTATATAAATTTATATATTATATAATTTATATTTTGTATGAATGATATGTAAATTAAAATTTATATATCATTTATGCAATATATAATTCTGTTATATATATTAGTTGTATATAATATATGTTATATTACTTTATTTTATATGATATGTATTATATTACATATGTTATATCATATAACATATATAACATATTATAAAATATGTTACACATAAATATACATATATTATTCTAAGGGAGCAAATTTTTAATTTTTCTCTTTCTGTAAAAGATGAACATATATGTAATTTATATTTATAAATATAAATAATATAACTACCATGAAACCCTTTAATTCATATGGTAAATGTTGAAACTATGACCAAAATATGAAAACTACCAGAGCTGTTAGAAAAAGACTAGAAGCCTTTTCACATATGTATAATCTAAGCATGATACTCTCCAAAAAAAAAAAAAAAGAATTGTAATTATTACCTTCCAGTTTGAAAACTTTAATTCTAAATTAAAAAAAAAAATCTATACACAAGCCACTGATTTAACCACATCCTCACCCGCCCCCCAAAAAAGGTGTTTAGTAAGCAGGACCCGGAAGAGCTGATATTCACAGTTCCTACAAGAACAACTCTTTCAGGGTTTATCCCATGAAGTACTTTATTTTACAACCTTCTTCTCATGCAAAACTAAAGGTCCATGTGATTACACAGAAATTTCATACAGTGTAAAACTAGAACTGAGTGTGAAATACTGCATGTAAGTATTTCTAAATAGTCTTGTTCTATCGGTTCATCAGTGACTTCTGTGGCTTTATAGTCATTTTCTGTGGAAGATTCTGAGAGAATCTCTCCAGTTCTACTGGAATTGGAGCCTCCTAATTCTTTTTCATGGCAGTCAGAATCCTACTTGCAGGGCCTCTGTTTTCACTGTCTTCTGAATGTAAATCTGTCTCATCCTGAGACAGATGAGATTCCTCTGTTTGATTATTTTCCACAGAATTCTCTTCATTTATAGTTAAGGCATCATCAGATTCTTTCTCTTGAATTTTTTTTCCTGGAGTCATTTCTGTTGTTAAAGACACTCGTCCTCTTCATCCTCTTCTCTTCGTCTTTATTCTTAGATGAAGCTGGTTCTTCTGTTTCTTCTGTCATAACTGAAGAAGTATGACTAGAAGTTGTTTGGTCATCTCTGACTTCACCTTCTTTGTCAAACTTGAGTTTTTTAACCTCATGTTCCTCAGCTCCCAGACCATATTCGTTTGGATGTTTATTTTCTATACGGCTGACTGAGGAACTCCTGATCCAGATGTCAGAGTCATTGTGAATTTTGTCCTAGTCATGCTGTAAGTTTGTAAAGACTCTTTGCTCACTGTGCTCTGAGGCAAACCATTCCTCCCTCCCTCCCTCCCTCCTTCCCTTCCTCCCTCCCTCCCTTCTTTCCTTCCTTCCTTCCTGTTCTCTCCCTTCCTCCCTTGCTGTTCTCTCCCTTCCTCCCTCTCTCCCTCCCCACCCCATTCTCTCTCTCTCTTTGTTTTTGTATAAGTTGCAGGAGTACAGCATTAAAATCCAACATCTGTATACACTACAAAGTGATCACCAGCACAAGTTTAGCTGCCGTCTGTCACCATACGGTTGACCCTCTACCTATTTCAGCCACACCCCAAACCCCTTCCCCTCTGGTAACGAGTAATCTGTTCTCTGTATCTATGTTTGGTTTTGTTCACTTTTGTTTTATTTTTTTAGATTTCACATATGAGTGAAATTGTACGGTGTTTGTCTTTCTCTGCCTGACAATTTCACTTAGCATAATACTTTCAAGGTCCATCCATGTTGTTGCAAATGGCAGGACTTCATTCTTTTATGGTTGAGTTGTATTCATTGTGTGTGTGTGTGCGTGCGTGCACACACACACGTATTTATCACATCTTTATTCATTCATCAGTGGACATTTGGGTTGTTTCCATATCTTGGCTGTTGTTAATAATGCTGCAGTGAATATAGGGGTGCATGTATCTTTTGGAATTATAGTGGTTTTTTGTGTTCCTTGGCTAAATACCCAGAAGTGGAATAGCTGGGATCATATGGTATTTCCAGTCTTAATTTGGGGGGTAATCTCCGTGCTGCTTTCCATAGTGGCTGCTCCAATTTACAGTCCCACCAACAGTGTTTGATGGTTCCCATTTCTCCACATCCTCTCCAACATTTGTTATTTCTTACCTTTTTGATAATAGCCATTCTAATAAGCGTGAAGTGATATCTTATTGTGGTTTTGATGTGCATTTTTCCCTAATGATTAGTGATGCTGAACATCTTTTCTTGTGCCCATTGGCCATCTGTATATCTTCTTTGGAAAGTTGTCTATTCAGGTCCTCTACCCATTTTTTAATTGGGGTGTTTTTTTGTTGTATAGTTCATATATTTTGGGTATTAACCCCTTATTGGATATATAAATTGCAAATATTTTTGCCCATTCACTAGGTTGCCTTTTCGTTTTGATCATGGTTTTTACCACCATGCAGAAGCTTTTCAGTTTGATGTAGTCTCATTTGTTTACATTGGCTTTTGTTTCCCTTGCCTTTGGAGTCAGATCCACAAAAACATTGCTCAGAGCAATGTCAATGAAATTACCAGCTATGTTTTCTTCTAGGAATTTTATGTTTTCACATCTTTCATTCAAGTCTTTAATCCTTCTTGAGTTAATTTTTGTGTATGGAGTGACATAGTGGTATAGGTTCATTCTTTTGCATGTGGCTGTCCAGTTTTCCCAACACCATAGATTAAAGAGACTATCCTTTCTGTATGTCCTTTGCTCCTTTATCATAAATTAATTATCCATATATGTGTGGGGTTTTTTCTGGGCCCTCAGTTCTGTTCCATTGATCTATGTGTTTGTTTTTGTGCCAGTACCCTACTGTTCTGATGACTTCAGCTTTGTATCAATAGTATAGTTTAAAATCAGGGAGCATGATAACTCCAGCTTTGTCCTTCTTTCTGAAGATGGGCTATTCAGGATCTTTTGTGGTTCCATACAAATTTTAGAACAAATTACACTTTTCTTAAAGCTTGTTAACCACCTACTAACTTCCTTCTCTGGTAGCTTTAAACAATGTGTATTTACAGTAGAGGCTAATCAGAGTAGTCATCACAACTTTTGTGGGCTATTTGAAAACCATCAGTGGGTTAGATATGACTTGGAATGTATGTACCTTTTTATTCCCTGAATCTCCTATAAAAGGTGCTAAGTGACGGACCAGTGAATAAAAGGGTGATAATCATTTTAGGTTAGTCCTAGGAAAAGGCTTATGTTGGTGCCATGTGGAATATGTAAGGTATGTGTCCATCTTTTTTAGGAAGTTGTACGGTTCCTGGATACCAAGCATCAAAACCACTACCGAGTCTACAACCTCTGCAGTATGTACATGACTTGATATTTTGCTATTATAGATAGAAAACAGGTCACTCACTGCATGTAAGAAGGTGACTCAGTTTTTACGTTTCCTTTAATCGTAGGTATTTGGTGGTGGTGGGAAGTGAGTTTTAAAAAGTCTCCATCTTGTGCTGGCTCTATTTGGTAGGAAAAGAAAGTGCAACAGCACACAGTACCCCGTGAGGTAGGCAGGAGACTGGGGGCAGAGCTATTTTAGGAGACTCAGGTCTAGTGGTAGTAGGTTTTGGAAAATATTTGTTTTTTCCTGCCAGCTTGTGTTTTGAAGACAATTCAACAAATGCATGCTCTAACCCACTAGGAATGAGGAGTGAGGAGACCAGGGCCCTGCATGGGAAGAAACCCCAAAACCCTATAGCAAACAAACTATAGCCCAGCTGACCCTCTTCCTGTATATTAAATGGACATTTTCAGGAGGCAAGTATTTTGGTTGGTTGCATTGGCTTATGCTCTGTGTAACCTTCTGATAATGGAGCGAGTAGCCTGCTAGAAAAGTACAAGTAAGGCCTATTAAACCAAAATAATTTGGGCTTATGTTACTCAAGATGGACAAAACACTACTCTACTTTTTTTATTATTATTATTATTATTTTTTTTTTTTTTGGTACACGGGGCTCTCACTGTTGTGGCCTCTCCCGTTTTGGAGCCCAGGCTCCGGACGTGCAGGCTCAGCGGCCATGGCTCACAGGCCCAGCCACTCCGCGGCATGTGGGATCTTCCCGGACCAGGGCACGAACCCGTGTCCCCTGCATCGGCAGGCGGACTCTCAACCACTGCGCCATGGGGGAAGCCCCTACTTTTATTTTTGAGACCCTTACGTTTCTTTTAGAGCAGCAGGAGCCAGACAGAAAGCTCCTTTTAAAGGTAGAGGAGGAATTTCAAATAGAAAAGTATAACTTATTTATACCTTGACCATTTACTGTGTTTATTAGGGTTAGAGATATGACCCGTGCATCATTTATTTCAGGTGAAAGAGCTTATGATGCTAAGTACTTCCATGATAGGGTCCGTCGATACATGATTGACGATCACAATGTCCCCTCTTTGAGGTAAGTTTGATGCCAAGCTGGCTGTCAGAAGGGGGCTAAATACAAAGGGCTTGATTTTTTTGGGACGTATTTTCACTCAACTAAAAATCTTTCACTTGGAATCAGTGAGATGGTGGCGTTCTCCAAGGAAGTAAAAGAGTGGATGGCTCAAGATGAGGAAAACATCACAGTGATTCACTGTAAGGGGGGCAAAGGTAAAAAACATTTTTCTTTTTCTTTCTCTTCTTCTAAAGAAATTTGAAAAATATATTAAAGTACACCAACAAGATATGTTCTGCTATTAACCGGTATTAATCATTGTTAACATTTTTTACTATTAGCTTCAAGACTAAAGGAAGGGGAAGGAAAGAGGGAGGAAGTGGGGAGGAAAGGAAGAAAGAGTAAAGAGGAGAAGAAAGCAGGAATAGAAGAACTGAGGAAGGTTAAGTGTGTTTTCCCTTGTTTATTGACTATTTGGGTTTCTTCATTTTTGATTTGCCAAAATATCTGTCAAAATACAAACACTGTTTAACTTTAGAAACCATCAGAGCACTTTTCATTTTATTTAAGGTTATTCTTAAACTTTGTGAGGACCTTTTAAAGTTAAGAGTGTCGACAGCAATGCCATTTCAAAGACCAAAAATTATACTGGAGTTTTTATAGTGTAATGATACATAGAAGTTGCTTTTGGTGGGGGGAAAATGGGGGTGGTGGGAAAGCCAGTTGTAAATTCAACCAATTTAACTTGAGTCAGATTTTCTCTCATTCAGATTTAAGCTTTTAATAATCATCTAGGCATATTTCACAATTTTTGATAAGTAAGGAATTATGGTTTCGTTGGGCTGTGAAACCGTTTTTTATATTAAATTCCAGGAAAACACACTTTAAAACTGCCTTCTGTAATTGAGTAGAATAAAGTTTTAGTCTTATGTGAAAAGTAGTTCCAAGCTCATGAGTTAGTAGGCAAGTTCTATCTTGCCTATCTTCTACAGGTCAAAATATTCTGTATGTACGGCAGTTTACAACATTGTGCCTAAATGAAGAATACAGAGGTTGAACCACATGGAATTGCCTTTCTTTGGACCATCTTTTACTTTAAAAAAAAAAGGCCATTTAATATGGCTCAACCAAAATATTATAATCTAAGAGTTGGCTTTAGTTTTCTTTTAATCAGGTTAATTCCCTGCTTAAAGGAAAACCTTCATTTTAAATTTAATTATTTTTTCTGAGGGCAGACTTACATTATTCTGTGTTCATGTGTGTTTCATTGCTTTTCCTTTAGGATTGTTTGGAAGGCTAGTATTCACTTGGTCTGTACCAGAGCAGCTCCTTTTTTCAAGTTTTCATTCATCTTGGTTTTGCTTCTTTTTGTTGGTTGATGCCTGCACATTACCAGTAATATCATGATAGCCCAAATATTTTATTATTGATTTATAGGACTTCTTTAAATAATCTGGGTGCTAATTTTTTGTTAGCAGTTTGTATTGCAAATATCTTCTTCCACTGTGTTGTCTGTTAAATTTGATTATGATTTATTTTGTCATATAGAATTTTTAAATTTTTAACATAGTGAAGTTTATCAATCTTTTGTGTGTGTGTGGTTTGTGCATTTTGGTCACGTTTAAGAAATCCACCCATACACTGAGGTGGTGAAGATATTCTCCTTATAAAATAGTAAAGTTTCGCTTTTTACATTTAGGTCTTTAATCTAATTGGAATTTGGGGAGGGAGATTTTTTTTCCATGTGGATAGACAATTGTCCTAAAACCATCTATTACATGCTCGTGTAGTCCCCATCAACTTGTAGTCCCTTCTCAGTCATATACCAAGTTTCCATATGTATTTGGGACTGTCTGTGAATTTTCTATACCACACTATTATAATTTTTATAGCTTTATAATGTATCTTGATAAAGGCAGAAATCTCTTGACTCTTCTTACATTTAATTTTAGAATTTTATCAAGTTCTACAAGAAAATATATTTGGGATTTTTATTGGAACTGCATTGAATCTATAGATTAATTCAGAAGCATTGAGAACTTTGCAATATTGAGCTGTACATGAATAGTTTTCTATTTATTTGAATCATCTGATCTTTCAATAATATTTTGTACTTCTCTTCATGATGGTCTTGTATATCTTTGCTAAATTCATCCCAAGACACATTGCTACTGCACAAGGAAGCTTTTTTCTATTACATTTGGATTGGTTCCAATTTTTACTATTATAATGCTGCTATGAAATACATTTTTCTTGTTGCACGTGTGCCCACATTTCTGTTGAGTGTAGACCTTGGACTAAGATTGTTTTGTCTTAGATAATGAATCTCAAACTTTAATAGATGATGTCATCTGTTTTCCAAAACAGTTGACAATTTACACTCCACTGGCATTGCATAGAAGTTCCAAGTGTTCCACATCCTTACCAACACTTGGATTTCTCAGTCATTTTATTTTTAGCTGTTGGGTGGGTATGTAGTTGTATCTCATTATGGCTTTCATTTGCATTTCTATGGTTACTAATAAGATTGAGAAAGTTTTCATAGGTTTATTATGATATCCTTGCATATTCTTTTTTGTGATGTATCTGTTTAATTTCCTTGTCTATTTTTATCCTGGATTGTTTGTTTTTCTCCAGTTGACTTGTAGGAATTCATTATATATTCTCAATTTCAACTCTGTTGTTTGTTTTATGTATTATACAGTATTACAAGATAGCTTTTCTGCTCTGTGATTTGCCATTTCTCTCTGAGCATCTTTTGGTTAACAGCACTTCTTTACTAACATAGTCAGTGTACATTGTTCTTTCTCTTCTTAAGGTTAGTGTTCTGTGTCCTAATTAAGAAATCTTTCCCTGAGTTTAAAAATACATAGTCCTATATTATCTTATATAAGTTTTATTTCGTTTGGAATTGATTTATGTGTGTGGTGTGAGGAAGGGGTCAAGTTTTATCATTTTCCGTATGGCTGTCTAATTGTTTCAGCACACTGATTTCATTTCCTTGCTGTTCTGCAGGACATGGGTCTGTTTCTGAACTTTCTAATCTATTCATTGCTTTTTCATCTATCTGTGTGCTAGTAGCGCAACTCTCTTACTTGTCTTAGCTTTCTAATAAGTCCTGATTTCCTTTCAAGGGAGTCCACTTATCTTGTTCTTCACAGTTGTTTGGGTTTTTTAGGTCATCTACATTTCCGTATACATTTTGGAATCAGCTAGTCAAGACACACACACGCACACACGCACACACACACACACCCTGATGGAACTTTGGAATTTCATTGAGGCTGTAGATAGAGGGGAATTGAAATCTTTACAATACTGAGTTTTCCAATCCACGAATGGAAATATCCACTCATGTAGTTAAGTCTTCTTCAATCTCTCTTTATAATGCCTTTTCATTTTCTGCATAGAAAGCTTGTATATGTGTGGTTAGATTTATTCCTAGATATTTGATATTTTGATATTTTAACTATTATAAATTATATCCCTTGGAAATTTTTATGTCCTAAATGTGTTTTTGTTGATGCTCTAAATGCTGTTGATTTTACTAACCTTGCAATCAGCAAACTTAACTAAATTCTTTCATTAATTCTATTAACTTGTCTGTAAATTCTTTTGGATTTTATGGCACATGATTATATCATATGAAATAATGAACTAAATTTTTCCTTTTCAATCCTTTTTTTCCCTAGCACTGGCTAGAACCTTTGGTACAGTGTTGAATTATACGTGATGATCGCAGGAATCCTTGTTCTCCCGCTCTCACAGGAAAAGCTTTCAGCATCTCGATTACTTTAGGGTGTGTGTGTGTGTGTGTTAGTGTTAGATATTCTCTATCAGATTAAGACATTCCTTTAATTTGCTAAGAGTTTTTATAATGAATGAATGTTGAATTTTATCGGAAGATTTTTCTGTGTCTTTAAAATAATATGATTTCTTACCTTTATTTATTAATCTGGTTGATTACATTGATTATAAAGTAGTAAACTAACCTTGAATTCCTGGAATAAACACAATTTTGTTGTGCTCTATTATTTTTTAATAAATTGTTGGATTCTGTTTGCTAATATTTTCTTAAGGATTTTTGTATCTATGTCATGAGTAAGAGTGGCTATAGTTTTCAAATTTTGGCTTCATAAACCAAAATTAAGTTGTACTTACTCTTTTTTTTTTTAAGTCTCTGGATGAGTTTGTATAAGTTGACATTTTTTTTCCTTACATGTAAGGTAGAATTCAGTAGTAAAGCCACAGTGGCCTCAGCGGGGGAATTGGCCTTAGTTTCTCTGTGGGGAAGTTTTTAAAGTATGGCTCAATTTCTTTATTAGATATGGGATTATTTATAATTTTATTTCTTCTGCACATTTTGGGTATTTTCCCAAGCATTTGTTCATTTTATCTAAATTTTCAAATGTCTTGGCATCAAATTGTCTTAAAATATCCAATTCTAATGTCTACAGTGGTGTTCCCTTTTTCATTCCTTACATTGCTATTTTTGGTGCCTTCTCTGTTGTTTCTTTTGATTAGTCTCACCAGGAATGTACTAATTTTATTAGTCCTTTCAAAGTACCATGTGTTTTGGCCTTACTGATCTTCCCTATTATTTGTTATTTCATCATTTACTTTAGTGTTTCCTTTCTTCCACTTTCTTTGGTTTAATTTGCTGTTTTTTTCCTAACTTCTTGAGATGGATGCTTAACTCATAGATTTTCAGCCTTTCTCTTTTCTAGTTAGCGTTTAAGGCTAAAATTTCCCTCTAAGAATAGATTTAGCTTCATCACACAAGTTTTTATGTATATTCATTATTATTTAGTTCAGAATATTTTCTAATTTCCATTGTGCTTGTTTCTTAGACTCATGGTTTATATAGAAATATACTGTCTTATTTTCAAACATGAGGATTTTGTAATTATCTTCTAGTTATTCATTTCTGGTTGTATTGCATTGTGGTCAGAGGACATATGCATCTTTTTAGTTCTTTGAGACGTATTTAGACTTGCTTTATCGCCCAGAATTTGGTTAATTTTATCAAATGTTTTCTGTGCACTTGAAAATAAAGTGTATTATGCATTGTCCTGAACAGTGTTCTATATGTGCCCCTTAGGTTGTTTGTTAATTGTTTTATTCAAATCTTCTATATCCTTACTGATATTTTATTTTGGTTTGCTTGAATTCTTTGCAGCATAATTCCTTCCTCCCACCCCCACCATTTGCTTGGAAGTCATATACTCTTTTTATATTCCTTAGTAATTTCTCTAAAGATTTCAACCGACATCCCTTATTTAGCTATCAGTTTTTGCTTTTTTCTTAGTATTGACCTTGTATCTTCCTGAACTCTTTAATTAGTTTTAGGGGTTAGCCTATAGATTTACTTGGACTTTTCTAGTCTGCAAATAATGAGAGTTTGTTTCTTCTGTTTTTAATCCCTATACATTTTGTTTTTCTTATCTTACAATACTGGCTAAGCCATGTAGTAAATAGAAGCAGTGAACAGTGGATAGTTTGTTTAGTTCCTGGCTTTAAGAGGAGTGTTATCATTTCATCATTAATATGATATACCTGGTAGGTATTTTGGTAGACTTCCTTTCACCATAGTTAAAAACTTAAAACCTTTTTCCAATAGCAAAAGTTTAGTGAATGAATATATGTTTATGTTTTAAGTTAAAATACTGAAGACAAGTATAAATCATTTTACTGATTCCTTGCATACCTGACTTGACTGGATGAGAGGGCCTCTACTTTGTCTGTGGTTGTGCTTATCCATAGCCACTGGGACATGAATCTGCAAGTTTTTTTTCGAATGGGAATATATAAGGGCTGTAAAGGCTCAGAGATGTCCTCCAGAATTGAAATGTTAGCCATCCATGCTAGAGAGCTACAGAGCTAGATTGTTAATGGTCAGTAGCCTCCTTTAGCAAGAAGCTTTTACTTATCAGAGCACAGGGTGGTACAAAGTCCTCTTTGGAAGTACTTGGCTTAGAATATTGTTTTTCAAACTATGGGTTGCAAAATAAATTTAGTGGTTCATTTTTTTAAAAGGATAGAATAGAAAATAGGGTGCATCTTAAGGTAAAAGGGTAAGTTTGGAATTACATAAAATAAAGTTCAGCATATACTGGCTAAGACAAAAGCTACAGTTCATTGTAGAAAGAACAGATGCAATGTACTTTTTAACTCACATTTTGTATGGCAGGACAAAAATATAAATTAGAAAAAAACCATGAGACTTTGAGGATAAAATGACATGAAATCAAGGATTTGCTTTAACATGCTGGTGGGGGGCTGGGGTGCGTGTAGAGAGTGGGAGGGAAAGAAGGATGAGGGAAGAAAAGGAAGAAACAAGTATAACAATTAATATGATAATTATCGAATCTGGGGAACAGGTATATGGGGGCTCATTATTCTGTTCTTTCTACTTTAATATATGTCTTATAACACAAAAAAAACCTCTAACTAAAATGGAAGGAATAATAGGTATGGCAAATGCTAGGTGGTGTTTTGGGTTCTGTCCACGTTTTATCTTTTATAGTTTCTTTTATTTACATTAGTAGGAAAACAGGATGTGTAATTAGCTCTTAATTGGTAGGTATCTCTTTAGCTTTAGAGTCCTGGAGCAGAGCTCATTGCCTCTGCCTGTTACTGCAGTCTCCAGGGGTCATGATTCAAGAACAATATACACGTGCCCATCCATGCACACAATTAGCACAGAACTCCAGGTAGAACCTCAGAACAAGCAGTGTAAGGGCTTTGTCTATCTCTGAATTGAAATATTTTGAACCAGCACTTTCAGAGTGGAAGAAAATCAATCCAAAATGAACTCTAAATACTTCTGAGAGTAGTTTTATACCAAGTGCTGCCATGGGCAATGGTTCATGAGCTAACTTCTTTTCTAGGAAGAACTGGAACTATGATCTGTGCCTACCTTCTTGCCAGTGAAATATTTGCAACCGCAGAGGTATGAAAGATGCTCCTACCAGTGCTGTCTTAGGCTGATTGAATTTGCTAGCTCTGAAACCTCGCTGGTGGGATGTTAACATGATCCCTGAGTCATGGTAATTAATGGAGTTATAATTGGAGAGGTGATTATTAGAACGCCTGGTTTGGATACTTTCTCATTTAACTGGCACTAGTTAGTAACTGACCTCAGGGCCTCTTTCTTTGGGACGGGATGAGGGTGAGGTCAATGAGACGCTCACCTTGGACACAAAATTTAAGGGAATGCCAAAAATCTCAGTAATTAAGATAAATAGTATTCCAGTGCAGCATTTAAAAAATCTAAGTTAATGCCAAAAAATCCATCGTGGATACAATATGAATATTTTAAATAAAGACAGGACACAACAGAGTCCAGATTAATGTGAAATGAGTAAGGTCAAGTTGTGAAAGTTCAAGAAAACCTCAGCAATACAGAAGCTTGACTTGCCTCCCCCAGACCCATAATCCCACCAGCTCCAGGCCTTCCTCCTTTCTCACGAGAATAAGAAGAAGATGGGTTAGGGAAGTTTTCTAAAGGACCTTGAACATCCTTGCAAGTGCTAGGTAGGTAAAAGGCATCGTTTTCCAACTCAGAACAAAGTCTCTCCTGGATGTTATATCTTTGCACAGTCAACATCTGTGGGGCCTGTGCCCTCTGGAAATTTCTGAGAAGACAGGATGGGCTGTTGCTATGTCTTAAAGCAGGGTTCCCACTCTTTTTCTGCCATGGTCTTGCTAAAAAGCCACCTCTTAGAGGGCACGCTCCCAGCAGCTCTGCTTCTCGCTCAGCCTGCAGCCCAGATAAGAGAAGCTGGGGGTTCTGATCTGGGCCCAGCACCCTGATTCCACCGTCTTCTTTATTTCAAATTTGAGACACACAAGTTAGGAAAATGGATGCTCTAGGACAGTGTTTTTCACACTATGGATCACAGTTTATCAGTGAGTTGTGAAATCAACTTACTGGGTTGTCACTCGCATTTTTTAAATAAAATGGAATCGATTAGAATAGGAAATATCAAAAGGTAAGTATTGTTTGTGAAACTTTTGTTTCAGTTCTGTGTGAGTGCGTGTGTGTGTGTGTGTATGTGTGTGTGTGTGTGTATGTGTGTGTGTGTATCTCGCAGGTTTATGAATGTGGATTGTAGCTTTAAAAATAAAAAGTTTGAGGGACTTCTCTGGAGGTCCAGTGGTTAGGACTCTACGCTTTCACTGCCGAGGGTTGAGTCCCTGGTCAGGGAACTAAGATCCCATAAGCCGTGTGGCGTGGCCAAAATAAGTAAATATATAAATATAAAGTTTGAAAGCTGTTGGTCTGGAGCCCTGGACAGAGCCAGAGGCCGGTGCTCAGGCCTTTGCTGTCTCTGACGGGCTGCATGCATCTCCATGGCAGGTCACTTGGTTTTCTTTTGGTCCTAATCATCTCCATTTGTAAAATAGAAAGATAGGAAGAAGGGCCAGATTATCTCTAAAGTCTTCCAGCTCTAAAATTATCTGTCTTTATGAATCTTTGAATGAGAGTAGGCCTTGATGTGGCTTTGTTAATTCTGTTATTTCGGGTATAGCCTCTGCCCAAAGACCGCTGACTTAAGGAAATCATGTGCCCTTAGAAACTTCAGAATGCCTTATACAGGAAAGGGACGTGCAGATGACCCATGACTGGACTGTCCCCTTTTTTATAGGACAGCCTTTATTATTTTGGAGAACGACGAACAGATAAATCCACCAGCAGTAAATTTCAGGGAATAGAAACTCCTTCTCAGGTAAGTGCTCTTTCTTTAAAAGGGGTCACTCTGGGTAATTAGGTTAAGATTGGCATCTATTACCTGGTTTCATTTTAGACTCTCTTCCTTGGGTGATTCCTTAGGTCATCTTCTCCTTGGGTGGTCTTCTCCTTGGGTGCCCCGTGACAGGCTTGATCCCTTCCAGAGGCCAGGAGCCCTGCCTCAGGTGTTGGCTTGGCTTTGCACCTTTGCTCTGAGTTCTCCCCAGAGCGCCCTGCCTTCCATTTTAACTGGTTATTGTTTGCAGAGTTCAGGAGTTGATTCCCTTCCCAAGGTAGGAAGGTCCAATTCCTAAGGTTTCAGACCCCCTGAAGATTATCTGAAGTCACTAGCCTTTTATTTCCATGTAAAGAGGAACTGAGTCTTTCACAAACCCCTATTAGGTCAATTCAGCCCTTGTAGAACATTGTGTGTGTGTGTGTGTGTGTGTGTGTGTGTGTGTGTGCACGCATGGGCACACACATGTGCACATGTGTAAGGGAGAGACAGACAGTGACAGAAAAAGAGACAGAGTCGGTGGGAGGGGGGCTGCACTTCAAAGGAGAAAGGAAAGGGAAAAGTAACATTTTTCAAAAACCTATTTTATACTAGACACTATTATACTTTTACATATATTGTCTCATTTAATACTCAGACATTCCATGTGACCCATGTTATTACCTTATTTTTTTTCCTTTTTAAAACATTTTATCATGGACTTTTTCATAAAAAGTCAAGACAGTCATACAATAAATCCCCTTATATTCATCACACTGCTTCAGCAATCATTTCGTCATGTGGCCAACCATTCATTCCCTCCCCACTCTATACACACACACACACGCGCTTCATTTTCACACTAAACTTGGATTATTTTGAAGGAAATCCCAGACATCAGATCATCTTATCCCCTAAGCATTTTAATATGACATCTAACATAAAGACTCTAAAAAAAAAAAAAAAAACCCTTAAAACCATTGACATAGCTAACAATGTTATACCTTAATAGTATCAAATGTCTAGTCCTCGTTTAAATTTCCATAATTATCTTAAAATCTTTTTAAAACTTAGTTTCAGTCAGGATCCAAACAAGGGCACACATTTCATTTGGTTGCTATGTCTCCTTATGTCTCTTTTAGTTTATAGGTTTCCCACCTCTCTTTTTTTTTTTTCTTGTAAATTGTTTATTGCAGAAACCAGGACGTTTATCCCATAGAGTTTACAACAATCTAGACTTTGTTGAATCCTGCTAAGGGTTTTGCATTCATTATCTAATATAATCTCAATAACTCAATGAGTGTGCACCATTATGATTCCCATTTTATAGACTGGGAAATCAAGGTTCAGGGAAACTAACTTTTTGAATTAAGAACTCAAATCCAGATCTTTCAGACTCCAAAGCCCGTTATTTCCCATCCTGTGCACAGCTTCTCATTTGGATTGCCTTTTCTATACGGCCCCTCAAACCCAAGTGAGAGATGGTTGGGAATTCTTAAGTAAATGTGGATGTGGCCATGAAGGAGAGTTTTCTTTGAGTGAAGTGATGAAAGCTGATACCCTTGGCCTAGTTAGCAGAACACTGTAACTGCTGGCTCTAGACATTTCATTTGGGATCAAAGAACTCAGCCTTATCCATTCATATTTTTCTGCCAAACACAAGCAACACAAGAAAAAAAATAAAAGATAGCCATAGGCTATAAGTAATACATCAACTTATTGAAGCCCAGCTCGAATCATGCCATTTCACGCTCAAAATCCATAATGGCTTCTGACTGCCAATGGCAACAAATATGTTTTAACCTGGCACCCCCAATCTAGATTTGATTTTTCCAACCGCTTCTTCCACTATGTGCATTCACACGCTCTAACGCGTTTGGATTGTTCGCCGTTTCCCAGCCTGTTTATACTTTACACCCACGTGCTCACGAGGGCCCCTTGTCCTGGAGTCCCTTTGCCCTCCCAGCCTGAAGTAGTCTCCTGCTTTTTCGGGAGTTCTTATAGCCCTTTGTGTTCCTTTTAGGGACTAAGTTGCTTTACATTATTTTCCAGCTATTCGAAGTCGTGTCTTCTCTACCCTTTTTGCACGCCCATGTCTTGCCCATCTTTCCACCCTGGCAGCCCGAAGTGCCTCATATAGTATCTCCTTTGTCTGTAGTGAGTGCTTACTAAATAGATGTTGATTTTATTAACTTCTGCTACATGCGCCTGTTGTTCTGGGCTGTAGGGGAAAGAAGAGTGAGAGCAAACGCAGCTACAGGGCCATGGTAGGTTACAAGCCTTTAGTGGAAGGTCAAGAATCTGGTGGCAGGAGCCAATGGGACGTTAGATGTAGCTCCTTCAGGCACATCTTCCCTTCCCCATTTCCTCTGCAGTCACGTGCAGTGTCTCTAACTTACTCCAGGACTGGCATACCCTAGGCTGCAGCTCAGTCTCTTCTGATTCACTGGGCTAGCAGTGCAGGGGCCCGGCCTCAAGGGCTGTGCTGGCGAGGCCCCAGGACAGAGTTCCCTGTGCGTGCGGCAGTAATTCTCAGACACCACCCCCTCCTGATCCTGCAGTGTGGCCATTCAATGCACTACATACCTTTCATCCACCCCTGAGTTAAGAGCTTGACTGGTCCTTTCCAATGCAGAGGATGGTGGTTAATTTTCTTAACACTTCCCAGTGGATGGGGAAGAGTCTATGAACTTTTCAGTCCGGTTGATTCTGTACCAGAACTCTTCTTAACTTCTGGAAGAAAGGAGAGCCCTTGTGAACGGCTTGCCACAGGAGATGGACTAGGCTAAGAGAATCCCCAGGCTTCCTTGCAAAAAGGGAATTGGGGAAACGGGAAGTGGAGAGATGCTCACTGGCTGGGACTGGAGAAGAATGTGAATGTACTGCTGGCCTATGGAGCTCTCCCGCTGAGCTTTTCCATCTTCCCTTCTCTCATGCCGAGGAGGCTACTGCTCCCCAAAGCACAAACCTTCCTTTAACTCAGCCACAATGAAGCTTCTATCCCAGGCCGACCTCTCCCGCATTTGCAGTTAATGGCATCTTGCTGTCCTGTTGTCCTAGCTGTTTTGTTGGTTCTGGTCAGTTGCACTCAGTCCCAGCAGCCTCTAAGCAACACCTGGCTCCTTTCTTGTTCCTTGCCTGTTGCTCTTCATTCAGTATTTTTTTTCTAAGGTAGATATTTAGTCATGAGGCAACAAATGCCTAGTTCCATAATGGCACCCGATCCATGTTTCCTTCATCAATTAGTTTCCTTAAAAAAATCAGGACTTTTTACCTCCACTTAAATCGAGACTCCTGTTGTTTTGCAGAACAGATTTGTTGGATATTTTGCAATGGTGAAAAATACCTACAATTTGACTCTTCCTCCAATGAAAAAGCTCACGATGGAAAAAATCATTATTTATTCAATTCAAGGTAAGTGCTTTATGTATAATTGGAGAATTGGCAGGAGGGCCAATGTTCTTACTATTCGGAAGGGTTTTCTCATGGTTATATACAGAGACAATCCCAACGCATAGCTGTCTTTTTGTGTAGCCTCAGGTATAAACCCCTCCCCCTGGAATTGCCCATCAGCCCAGCGCTGCTGTGGCCACGTTACCACTGCTTAGGTGTCCTCTCCTTTCCTATCACCAATTTGGGGGGCTCCATCCCCCCTTCCCTTTCTCCTGTTCTCATTGCTACTCTGGCCTCAGCCCAGGGTGTCCTTTTCAGAGTAGAGCCTCTGAGAGTAAAGGGAGGGAAGGTCCCATGAGACCTGGAGACCACTTCTTCCTCATGCCCATCTCTGGTTCAGGGTTGTCTTGGGAGATGCATCCCTGTTTCATTTTCTTTCCTAATCCTCTCAGAAACCTTTTTTTAATTCTTATCTCCTGATCTCTCCCTTTCCCCGCCCTCCTCCCCCATAGCCCCCTCTCCCCCAGCAACTCCATCAGGATGTCTTAAATACCCAAACAGCAAATGAATTTTGTTGCCACAAATTCTTTTTGCAAATAACTGCTGAGAACTGCTTTGGGCCAGGCCCCCTGCTCGTGTTTCTTTGCCCTTCAGGAGCCCCTGAGTGTAAGCAGAGGAGAGGAAGGTACACGGATGAAGAGCTGACCACAGTGTTGGACAGCTTCCTAGGAGAAGAGCACTTAGGTCTTCCGAACCTACAGGAACACAAAAAAGGGTTGGGAGAAACCTGGCCTCTGGGCGGGGTGGGGCGGGGGGGGGGGCTCTCTCAGCCCCCTAGCTGTTACCAGTTCTTACCAAGAGTAAAAATCCTTATAAACTTGAAAAGAGCTGACGATGCCTGCTTCAGGAGTGTAAGGAGAAAGAGGGGACCTGCCGTCGCCCCGAGAGGCAGAGATATTGGTCAGATCGTCCACCTCTGGGATTTGAAAGACAAGGAAGGAGGGGAGAGGAATGAGCCTCAAGGCCATGTCTATATTTCTCTGTCACCTGCCTAGATTCCCTGTACAGCTCACGCTCGGGGAGGTGGAGACAGGGGCCCCTCAGTGTGGAAGCACAGCAGGAGGTGATGCTTCTGATTCCCTAAAGCAACAGCAGCTTGTGGAGCGCGAGGCACGGTGCTGCGTGCCGGGCCTCTCCTGGGCCCGGCTGCAGGGCGAGGGCGCTGGTGTCCACCCAGACAGCCTATTGCTTTTAGCCCTCTGAGGAGTCACACAAAATAAGATCTAGATGTGTATTTTTTAACGCTTCGTCCAATTATTCAGAAATAAGAGAACCCTTTAGAATATATGTAAAAACTGCATAGTCAAAAAAAAAATTACAATTGTTAGTTAAAATATAAAATGCTTTTTTCAAATTATTTATGTATTTCTCCCCTCTCCACACGCCCGCATCGCCGCCACTGCTTGGCAGGGCTGAGGAATTGTGAGAGTTACCACGAGCAGATTGCATGGGTTTCTGGCTTCTGGAAACAAACTTCGGCCCAGCAGCATGGTTTCTGTGGGAAATTTTGGTCTAGATTTCCAAACAAGCGTTGTGCGGGCAGACCCTGGAAACACAGCCTGTTCCAGCAGGGGGCTGCCTGTGTGTATAAAGGAGCAACTGCGAAGGCTTCGTGGGCTGCAGAGTGCTCTATGAGGTGCATTCTGACTGTGATGTGTGTGTGTCATGTATGAGGGACAGGGCTGGAGTGGAGCCTCGCTCAGCACACCATCTGCCTTCAGACGTCCCCAGGGTAGAGCCACACTTGTCCGGCAGCTGGTGGGTGGGAGGGGACAGCAATGTCTTGTTCCCCATTGTTTCCTGCAGAAAGTGCAGTGTGAGAGGCAACCCAGGTGGCTGTTGGAGCAGTGTCTTCCTCTAGGAAATTGAAACTCAGCTCTAAAGCCAAGTTGGTGGCGTGAGAGCCTGTTTTGTACCTGAGTGTATCCTCTCCCTCAGGGTCCTCTTGATTAACAGTGGGAATCCAGGCATCCCTCGTTTTATTGCTCTTTGCTTTATTGCGCTTCACAGACATTGCACTTGTTCAAAAAATGAAAGGTTTGTGACATTTCTGAGTTGTCAGATGATGGTGAGCAGTTTTTTTTTTAGCAATGTGGCAATCAAGTTTTTTTACTTAATGGTTTGTGTTAGAATTTTATGTATTTATTTATTGGCTGCATTGGGTCTTTGTTGCTGCTCGTCGTATTTCTCTAGTTGTTACTCTTCGTTGCGGTGCACGGGCTACTCATTGCGGTGGCTTCTCTTGTTGTGGAGCACGGGCTCTAGGTGCGCGGGCTCAGTAGTTGTGGCTCATGGGCTTAGTTGCTCTGCGGCATGTGGGATCTTCCTGGGCCAGGGTCAAACCCGTGTCCCCTGCGTTGGCAGGCGGATTCTTAACCACTGCGCCGCCAGGGAAGTCGCGATCAAGTATTTTTTAATGAAGGTACGTACATGGTTTTCTTAGACATAATGCTATTGCACACTAAATAGACCAGTATAGTGTAAACGTAACTTTGTGTGTGCACTGGGAAAGCAAAAACGTTCGTGTGACTCGCTTTGTTGCGATATTCGCTGTATTGCAGTGGTCTGGAACCGAACCCACAGTATCTCCGAGGTAACCCTATAACAGTACCTATACAAACCTCTGTGAGTATTAAACTATTCCAAACAGGCAAAAAGGCATTTAGTCTGATGGAGTTTTGATGCATTTTCTCTAACGTGAACAATGAGAATAGGAATAGTTTCTCAAACTTCTAAGCTTAAAAAGGGTTTTAATAAGTTCTAGCATTTCATATATTGTCCCAGTCTGGTATCATATCCTAAGACCGTGACTTCTCTCTTCATAGTTTGAATTTTACTTAACCTCTGTGGAGATACTGTTTAGTTAAAACTGTAAAGTGCAGATCTAGAGAACAGAGGAACTAACACAAATTTATAAGTACTGCAGGTGAAAACTGGTGGAGAGTTTTATGGGTTTGGTTTCCTCATCTCAGGCTAACATAAAATAGAGGATTTTAAAAGTCTAATTTGAGATCCCTCATAAAGGCTTCCAGACAGAAAGTTGTGCCCTTTGCAGCTGTTCTTACGGTGTGGGCCTCGGCTGGCAGACCCAACTTAAGGCCTGCCTGGTACGCCAAAATTCTTGCTGCACCCACGTAAATAAGCAGGCCAAACCCAATGACAGCAGCCTTCTTTTGGAATAAGAATTATCCCCTTTGAGGGAGATCAAGGTGGTGAAGTAGGAGGATGCTGAGCTTACCTCCCCCCATGAACACATCGAAAATACAACTACCTGTGGAGCTACCTGGAGGCTGGCAGAAAGGCCCTTCTGCGGCCAAGGCTGTAAAGAAAAATCCACACGGAGTCTGGTAGGAAGGGAGGAGAAGTGATCTGGTCGAGACCTGCACCTTTGGTGGGGGACCCAGATGTGGAGGGGGGTGTCATGGGCTTGGGGAGCCTCCCTGGGGAGCAAGGGGTTTGAGCCATACATTTGCACTCCAGCCCTGGGGTCTGACACCAGGAGGATGAGTGCCCTTAGCTGCTTCGAAAGCCAGTGGGGCTCATGGGAGGCTGTAAAACACTGAGACCTCACTCAGAGAGTGAGTGCTTGCTTATACCCCCATCCTGGCAGACGCAGCAGCCTGAAAACTCTGACCAGGGAGAAAGCAGCCTTGGCCAGTGCTCGGTCACTGCCCACATTTAGGAGGAGTGAAACTACTCCAGGGCAGGGACTGACATTGCCAGCAGGAAAGAAACCAGCTCAGCAGTGAGGCACCAACCCCTCCGGCCCTGACCCAGCCTCTAACCAAGGGTGCACAGTGGGGAAAATGTAAAACCAGCACAGAAGTGCAGCCCCAAACCCTTGAGCCCCTGCTGCATCCCAAACCAAGGTGGAGACTGCCATCTCTCTCACACACAGGGTCGCACCTGGCTCCGGCTCTAGCCCCTCCATCTCCAGCCCCGCTTCCCACCAAGGTGGTGGCTGCCACCGCACCCCAGGGGCCCATGGGACCTGTGCTCACTTCTCCCACCAAAGCCACTGAGCATACGCAGGCTGCACAGTCCTGCACAAGGGCACACCTTCAAGACTGGGATAGGTAACTGATTCACTTAATTTCATAGAGACAGAGACAGGTAAACAAAATGAGACGACAAAGGAGTATGTTTCAAATGGAGGAACAGCAACAAAAAAACCCTTAAAGAATCATCTTCCTTTGAGATTATGATCACAACAGACTGTCAGGAAAAAGTGTGATAGATTCTGAAATGGGCAGTGTCTTCTCTAGGCCCACCTCCAGGGTTACCTTCACCTCTCATGGTCCTTAAGCTATTTTACAACTCTAAGTTGTAGAAAACTGATAATAATGCAAATAATTTTTGTACATAAAAATGCAAATTAGTTGTGTCTAGCAGAATGCAACTGACTATTGACCTGTTTCGGATTTATTTGTAAATTCATTTCATCATTCCTTATCTGTCCATAAATGTGCAGTACTTTGAAACAGCTGTAGCATTTTACTGGTTCCTTAGTAATAAGTTAAAATTTTTGACGTGTTAAGAAATGCATGTACAGGACAGTGCTATGGCATGCAACAATTTCTGTAAAACAAAAGGAGAGTATATTTGTTCGTGTGTATATACACATATAAAATCTCTGGGAGAATATATATTCATATTTGATTATACATGCATAAAAAACTAGAAACTAGTAATAGGGGTTAGCTGTTTGGGGCTGGAGAACTGAACAGGTGGGAGATAGGGAAAATGGAGACTTTTCACTTCATGCCTTTTATACCTTTTACTTTTAAATCATGCAAATATACTTAAATTATTTTAAAAAATTTTAAATTGTGTGGGAATTAATTTAAGCTCATAAAGCAATGCCCTTTTCCTGTCATGTGATAAGTGTTCGACTTGGTTTAGGTCTACATTTCACTGACTTCTGTTGACATCTGTAGAGAGAAGTTCTGCAGGTGGATGGGACAGAGGGAACTGAGGCAAAGAAACCATGATTCCTCATGACAAATTAATTGTGTTAGTGAGAACAAAATTAAATGAACACAAAACAAACTTAATATAACAATTAAGAATGATGGATATAGGACTTTATTAGAATATTTGTTTTAGTTCTGTACCTTTAGTCCTGTGCATATTTAAGTGAAATATGCAGGGTGGAAAGGAAAGCCGGAAAAATTAATTGGAGGCTTGAGAAACCAGCCCTTTCATGAAATGCTGAAGTAAGTGGGTCAATTAAGTTGAAAAAAAAAAAGGGAGAAGAAACCATTTGTCTGTAAATATATGCTGAACATAGCAGGAACGTTCGGATACAGCTCTCCTATGTTTTCCATAAACTGGATTTAAACTAGGGCAAGAGGAATCTAGACTATTTATTATTAAGAAACATCACAATTAGAAGTCTGAAGAAAGCAACACATCAACAAGAAAGGTTGCACGTCCCCTTCCCTAATTTTTTTTTTTTCTATGAAGGTGAAGCGATGGGATTCTAAATCTGAGAAGCTGAACAATGTCTTTTTTTTTTTTTTCCTCCAGCCTTATAAATTCTGCTTTAGGGGACAGAACTGAACTTTTGAAGCCTTGTCTTTCAAAGACAAAATCCATACAAGAGCCAAATGATTCAATATTGACACATTGTTAGCTGGGATAATTTTTTCTCTTTTTAATCTGTATTGTTAATTGGTGAGACATTTTGATCTTTGCTCTAACCAGCCCAACTTTTTAATTTCATTCAGGTGTTGGAAAAGGCAATGGAAATGATCTAAAAGTACAAATAATAATGCAACGAAAGCCTGTCTTTTTCTGTTCTGCTTCCAAAAACTCTAGGGTAAGAGAAAGCATGGAAACTGAAAATTCTAGTGTTTGTTTTAAATCTCAATGTCAAATCAGCACGTTTCCCTCCCCAAACCACCACTCACCACAGGGAGGGGCCGTGTTGCTTTCTGGTTACCATCCAACTTGGTGTCCCTGGGTTTGGATTTGAGTCAAGAGTTAAATTTATTGTTCAAAATAGTTTTCAGGGGAAATAGTTTTCCAGAATATATTTTCAGTTCAGAGTGGTGCTTTGCCTTTCCCTTTTCCACAAATGCCAAGCATGTTCCCAGGAATCTGTCAGAGTTTTAAATTCATGTATCTGGTCACTTTTAGCCATATTCTCCTCTTCTTGGTCATTTTTGTTATATGGCACTGATTCTGAAATTTTAATGTGCATGAAAATCACCTAGAGACTGGTAAAAATGCAGATTCCTAAGTTATACCCCCAAAGTGTGATTCAGGAAATCTGGAAAGGGGCCCAGGAATCTCTAGACTTAGCAATGTCTCAAGTGATTGTAACTCAGATATCCTGTGGGCCTGCACTGTGAGAAACAATGCAGGGGTGTATGGATTGGGGAGGAATCTCTTTGGGACCAAATAGTCAGTTTTCTTAAAGGCTGAAGAAATGGTTAAGACTACAGACCTTTCCTGGAGCAACAGGAAAGTTTCCTTCGTGGGTGTAAGAAATATAAACTTTTAAGATTCTTTCTCAGGCTTTGGTCTCTAGTTCTCCTATTACCTCTCCTCTTCCTTCTTTTTACTCCCCTGACCCTCGGGAGGGGGCACTCCCCCCAAGCCTCATCCCTGGCTTTCTGTTCTTATCTCCACACATACTCTATTCTTGGTTCTACACATCCGTTCCCCTACTTTAAATTATAATATCTTCTTTCATTCACTTGACACATATCTATGAGCCCCATACACGGGGTAGACGCAGGAGCTGCAACGTGGGCATTCTCTACCCCAGCAATTCAAACACAGGTGTCAATCCAAATTTATCCAGTGAACTTTTCATCTGCTTCTGCAAATGACACCAGCATTCTCTTGCTCAGACTTTCAAACCTGGCATCATCTTTGATTCTCTCTTTGCCCGCGGCCCCTAAATCCAGTTAGTCACCAATCCCTGCTAATGAGGCCACTGGACTCTCTCTTCACTCGCTCCCTTCCTGTCTGTCCCCATTGCCACTACCCGGTCCAGGACCTCATCTGCGCATGCCTAGACTTCTACAGCGGTCTCCTTACCTTTGCTTTCTCCTTATACAGGGCAGTATATAGGGTCCTGCAATACACATCCTGAAATACTGCTCTCATTTTAAAAAGCTGTAGCTAGAGCAGAAGACACACTGTGTACCCACGGTCAAAGCTAGTTAATATCTTTGGTGCAATATTCTTTTTTTTTTTTTTTTTCCTGGCTGTGAGGCATGCAGGATCTTATTTTCCCAACCAGGGATTGAACCCATGCCCCCTGCAGTGGAAGCGTGGAGTCTTAACCACTTGACCACCAGGGAAGTCCTTCTGGCTCAGTATTCTTATCTGTAAAATAAAGGTTACATCTCAAGTGTTGTGAGGATTGAATTAGATAATATATGTGAAGTTGCTTTGTGAGTCATACATCACTAAATAAATGTTAGATGTGATAATTACCAGGCCAGCTTTATCACCTAGGAAATGCTCCACTATAACCTTCAACAACTTCATTCTTATTTTCCTGGGTCTTGAATTCTCAAGATATAGCCCTATCATACCTGAGCTTATTCGCATTAGTAACATGGCCTGCTGTCTCCATGCCAGGTAGACTGGGTCCCCTCTGGCCCTTGGAACACAGCACTCTAATTTCTGCTTCCTGTTTTTGCTGGTCTTTTTCCCCTCCTCCAGCCCTGCCCTCCCAGTCCCCTGTCTGAACTGGATTCTCTTTACAGAGCTCCTCTTTTTTAAAAATTGAAGTATAATTGACATACAATATTATATTAGTTTCAGGTGTACAACATAGTGATTTGACATTTTATATACATTATGAGATGATCACCGTAAGTTTAGTTACCATCTGTCACCATTTAAAGTTATTACAACATTATTGACTACATTCCCTATTCTGTATATTACATCCCCATGACTTATTTATTTTATAACTGGAAGTTTATGCCTCTTAATCCCCTTCACCTATTTCACCCATCCTCCTATCCCCTGCCAACCACCAGTTTGTTCTCTGTATCTATGAGTCTGCTTCTGTTTTGATATGTTCATTTGTTTTTTAGATTCTACGTGTAAGTGAAATCATGCAGCATTTTTCTTTGACTTAATTCACTTAGCATAATACCTTCTAAGTCCATCCATGTTGTCACAAATGAAAGATTTCATTCTTGTTATGGATAATATTCATATATACATACATGTGCGTATATATATATATATACACACACACACACACACATATATATACCTCACATTTTCTTTATTGATGGACTTAGGTTGCTTCCATATCTTGGCTATTGTAAATAATGCTACAGTGAACATAGGGGTGCATATATCTTTTCGAATTAGTGTTGTCGATTTTTTTTTTTTGGGGGATAAATACCCAGAAGTGGAATTGTCCAATCATGTGGTAGTTCTATTTTTAAGTTTTTGAGGAACCTCCATACTGCTTTCCATAGTGGCTGCACCAATTTACATTCCCACCAAGAGTGAAAGAGGGTTTCTTTTCTTCCACACCTTCACCAACGTTATTTTTTGTCCTTTTGATAATAGTCACTCTGACAGGTATGAGGTGATGTTCTGAACTGCATTTCCCTGATGATTATTAATGATCATTTTTTCATGTGCCCGTTGGCTGTCTGTATGTCTCCTTTAGAAAAATGTCTTTTCTAGGTCCTCTGCCCATTTTTCAATTGGATTGTTTCTCTTTTTGATGTTTCCTTTTTAAGTTGTATGAGTTATTTTTATATTCTGGATATTAACCTCTATTGGATACATAATTTACACGTATCTTCTCCCATTCAACAGATTAGCTTCCCATTTTATTGCAGGGTTCCTTCACTGTGCAAAAGCATTTTAGTTTGATGTAGTCCCACTTGTTTATTTTTGCTTTTGTTGTCCTTGCCTGAGGAGACGGATCCATAAAGGTATCGCTAAGATCAAAGTCAAAGAGCTGACTGCCTGTGCTTTCTTCTAGAAGTTTTACGGTTTCAGGTCTTACATTCAAATTTTTAATCCATTTTAACTTTATTGTCATATGTGGTGTAAGGTAGTGGTCCAGATTCATTCTTTTGCATGTAACTGTCCAGTTTTTCCAACACTGCTTATTGAAGAGATTCTTTTCCACTTTGTATATTCTTGTCTTCTCTGTTGTAGATTAATTGACCATAAGTGTGGATTTTTTTCTGGCCTCTCTATTCTGTTCCATTGATCTATGTATTTGTTTTTGTTCCAGTAACAACTGTTTTGAATACTACAACTCTGTGATATATTTTGAAGTCAGAAAAACTGATACCTCCAGTTTTGTTCTTTTAAAGACTACTTTGGCTATTTGGGGTCTTTTGTGGTTCCACACAAATTTTAGGATTCTAGTTCTGTGAAAAATGCTATTGGTATTTTAATAGGGATTACATTGAATTTGTATATTGCTTTGGGTAGTAGCATAGACATTTTAACAATATGAATTCTTCCAATCCATAAGCACAGTATACCTTTCCATTTAATTGTGTCACATTTACGTCTTTCATCGATGTCTTATAGTTTTCAGAGTTCAGGTCTTTCACTTCCTTGGTTAAACGTATTCCTAATTATTTTATTCTTTTAGATGCAATTTTAAATGGAAGTTTCTTAATTTGTATTTCTGATAGTTCATTATTAGTGTATTGAAATGCAACAGATTTCTAGACATTACTTTTGTATCCTGCAGCTTCACTGAATTCATTTATCTGAATAGTTTTTTGGTGGAGTCTTTAGCATTTCCTATATATAGTACTATGCCATCAGCAAATAGTGAGTTTTACTTCTTCCTTTCCAATTTAGATGTGTGTTATTTCTTTTTACTGTCTAATTGCTGGGGCTAGGACTTCTAATACTTGGTTCAATAAAAGCAAGAGTGGGCATCCTTGTCTTGTTCCCTATCTTAAGGAAAAGCTTTCAACTTTTCAACACTGAGTATGATATTAGCTGTGGATTTATTACATATGGTCTTTTTTTTTTTTTTTTGCGGTATGCGGGCCTCTCACTGCTGTGGCCTCTCCCGTTGCGGAGCACAGGCTCCGGACGCGCAGGCTCAGCGGCCATGGCTCATGGGCCTAGCCGCTCCGCGGCATGTGGGATCTTCCCGGACCGGGGCACGAACCCGTGTCCCCTGCATTGGCAGGCGGACTCTCAACCACTGCGCCACCAGGGAAGCCCTACATACGGTCTTTTTATCTTATTGAGGTACGTTCCCTCTATACCCACTTTGCTGGGAGTTTTTTGTTTTGTTTTTTTTTTATAAATGGGTGTTAAACTTTGTCAGATGCTTTTCTGCGTCTATGGAGATGATCATGATCTTTACCCTTTGTTAACGTGGTGTATCGTATTAATGTCATGTGCAGATGTTGAACCATCTTTGCATCCCCAAAATAAATCCCACTTGGTCTGGTGTATGATTCTCTTAATGTATTGTTGAATTTGGTTAATGTTTCACTGAAGATTTTTGCATCTATGTTCATCCAGGATATTGGCCTGTAATTTTCTTTTTTTGCAGTGTCTTTGTCTGGTTTTGGTATCAGGGTAATGCTGGCCTCATGGAATGAGTCTGGAATTTTTTTTTTTTTTTTTTTGCGGTACGCGGGCCTCTCACTGCTGCAGCCTCTCCCGCTGCTCCGGATGTGCAGGCTCAGCGGCCATGGCTCACGGGCCCAGCCGCTCCGCGGCCTGTGGGATCTTCCCGGACTGGGGCACGAACCCGTGTCCCCTGCATTGGCAGGCAGACTCTCAACCACTGCACCACCAGGGAAGCCCCAAGTCTGGAATATTTTGATAAAGGATAGATAT